CGCGGACTCTCCAGCCTCTAGCTCACCACCTCGCCTTCTCTGTCGCCCTCCTGGCCCAGGCCCACCAGTAGTAAGTCTGAGCTGTCCCAAACCGCACTTACCTCGGGTCTTCAAGCTCACACCGGCTCGTGATGCCACGGAGAGGGCTCCGAGATTGTCCCCGGTGGACCCCATCCGAGCCGATTGCGAGGGCATTACGGAGGTCATTATCGGCGCCATCGACTGTGAAATGTCCCGACCCACAGCCCTCATGCACTAGGCTCATGGATGCAGTCATAATATGTAGGCCTTGTCTCCCGAAGTTTGGAGCAATAGCCGCAAATAGTACTTTTTGGCACTTCATCGCGACACGTCCAGGTGCCGACAAAGCGGCTTCCCAGCTCACCACCTCGCCTTCTCTGTCGCTCTCCTGGCCCAGGCCCATCAGCAGCAAGTCTGAGCCGTCCCAAACCGCACTTATCTTGGGTGATGAAGCTCACTCTGGCTCATACCACGGCTCTGCAGCCTCACACACGCCCGTTTCAGCCACAGACACCGCCGGCACGCACTCCCACTTCACACACGCTCAAGCACAACCCCATCAAAGCACATCCCTGCTCAGAATGGGCAAGGGCTACCACCTGGTGACCCTGGTAGCCTCTGGCTCGCCACTGCACTCGGCTCCTCTGCAGCGGTCTCGGCTCTCGCCACCACAGCACGCCGACGGCAAGCTTTGACGCCCGTCTGGTGGACCTGCTGTGGCCACAGCCGCCCCTGACATGCATCTCGCACCATGACTCGACACCGGGCCCGCTCAGCTTGGTCGTGGCGGCGTGTGTGAAGGATGCGCGGCCGAGCCGCTGGCTGGCGCCGCTTGAGCGTCCGAGATGGCCGCAGCAGAGGCCACGCGTCGCGCCGCCGGCCAAGCCCAGCCTCTCCGCGGTCCAGTCGGTCAAGCTGGCGGGGCCGGCGAAGATTTCCGGGACGTGACCGCAACTCGGGCAGCGACAGCGCGCTTGAGCTGCGCATGTCCGACACCCCTCAAAATCGGGGTCTTTTCAATAGGGCCCACCTTGGCCTTTAAACAAAAGAAATCTCTTGCCCAGCAGACAGGCTCGACACAGGTGCGAACTGGCGCGTGCAAATACTATTCACAAATCCGAATCTTCACATTTCTTCCACCCCTCCCTATAGTGGGTGGGCGGTCTAAGGCGGGGGCGGGGGAGGCAGCGCCCCTCGTCCCGCGACGCCTCCGGGGCCCCATGTGGCGAGATCGATCCCGTTTGCTCCCGCGAACTCGGCAAACTGCAGTCCCAGGGCGCCCTTGAAGTTGGCCCTCTCAACGGTGGCCTCAAGAAACTTCGCGTTCATGAGGTTGGCCCCCTTGAAATCTGCAAAGTTGGCGTCAGCCTGGGTGAAGTCGGCGCCGTCGAGGTTGGCGCCGACGAAGCTGACAGACTTGAGATTCGCGCCGCCAAAGCTGGCCCCCTTGAGCGACGCGCCGTCCAGCTTGGCGCACTGCATGTCCACGCCGTCCAGTTTGGCACCTTGCGCGGGCGAGGGGGCGTATTAGGGGTTTCCACGTGCCAGGCCCGCGCGGGCGGTGGCGCTTGCATGGACGTCACGTGCCTTCGAGGTTCATGTTGCTGAGATCGGCGTTCTGCAGCTCGGCGCATGGCGTGCTGCCGTACTTGAAATCGACGCCGGGCCCGGCGAGCCAGCAGCACGGGCAAGTGCGCGTTGGGGGAGGGCAGAGACCGCGCGTCTGCAGGGGTCGGAGGAGAGAATGGTGGAGGAGATCGTAGTGCTAAGAGGCGGAGATGGCGGATTGGCGAAGCAGGCGAAGGCGCAGAGCGCGCGCCGGCTTGACGAGGCAGCGAGCGCCGTCGGGACGCGGCAAGACGTGCGTGACTTTGGAGGGCAAGTCGATGGCCATGCAGCGTGCATACTCTCGTGCGTACAAGCGCTGCCACTTTGGGACGAACTCCGTGAACTCGATCGCGACGCATTCAATGTCGAGAGCTAAACTTTGCGTGAGAGTGGTCGAGAGTTTGGGGTGGGGTGGGCGCGAGGTTCTATCTATAGAGTCAGGCGCGCACCGCAGTACTCTTGGCACTCGGCGATCGTCACCGCCTGCCAGATGGGATCCGCTTGCATCGTCGTCGGCCCAGCGCACGCGCCAGCCTTGCGGCCCGGGCCAGGAGGCTGCCAGAGGACCACACTGTTGGGCCCACGCGTGGTGAAGACCGGCGTCTGAGCAGCGGGCGTTGCGTGAGCGGCGACCGCTTGGGTGGCGGGCGGGTCTGGGCGACAGCAATTCCCGCAGTTGCACGATGGCAACTTTACCGCTTGATCTGAGCAAGTGGTGTCGTAGAACGTCCCGCAGGGGACGCCAACGCACACAACATTGCAGTCCGGGTGAATCGTCGGTGGCGGAGCCTGTGCGGGCACGACAAGGACAGAGGCAATAAGCAGGACCTTCGCCGGCATGAGAGACAAACCTCCACTCGAGGCCACAAGATGGCTCAGCGCGTGCGGCGGTGACACAGGGTGGACACAGCCCGGCGAGTCGAGCGCAAAACCCGAATTTATTTTTCGCTCGTCGCACAACACTGGGCACGGGACTGGCGCGCACTGGCACTAACACAGGTACACCACTGGAGCCGCCTAAGCGACTGCCGCGAGGACGGCGAGGCACTTAGCTCCGTGCACTCGACCGCCCCCGCCGCTGGCAAGCTCATTCACAATCTGCTCTGCGATGGCCGTGTGAAGAACGGCTGAGATGCGCTGCTTCTGCAGCCCCAGCCAGCTCTTGGTGGTCCAAAACAAGAATTTTCGCGGAGTTGTGTCGCCCTGGCGCCAAAACGGCACCGGCCGGCACCCCCGCGTAGGTAGGTGCTTTTGGTTATACGGCGCACATCCCGCTCATGCCGACCTTTCCTCTCTGTGCGTTCCACCCCGTCGTCCGCTCCCTCCCGCTTGGCGCCTATCCCGCCCTGCTCCGCCGGGAGGGGAGGGCCCTGAGGCGACCTATAGCTGCCAAACGGAAATGGAGCGCCCAGCGCCCAACACGGCCGTGTCCCTCCGGGGCAGTGGACTCTTTGGCGAGCTGGCCACGGCAACCTACAGGTGCAGCTGCTGCCCAAGAAGACCGAGGCCTTAGCTGGCCAGCGCGTCGTCGCTGTGTCGGCTGGAGACGTGCACAACCTCATTCTCACCGCCGACGGCGCCGTCTGGAGCTGGGGCAGGGGAGCCTCAGGCGAGCTGGGCCACGGCGACCTGCCTGCAGGACCAGCTGCTGCCCAAGAAGATCGAGGTCTGGTCGCAGGAGTGGGAGGGGGGCGAGGGGGCGCGTGGCTGATAGGAGTACGACCGACTCGGGAGAGGCCAAGATCCGGATAGGGTGGGAGGGCTGGCCAAGCGCTAGACGTAGAGCTACACGGATACTGTGGTGACTGGGGAGCTAGATGACGTGAGTGTGTGACGCTCTGAGGTCGTGTATACCGCGAAATCTCGTAATTCTTTACCTACAAACCCGGCGTTCTGCTTTAAAATAAAAAGAAAAACGCCACCGCTTTCTTACGTTTTCGGTGCTTGCTTCGCGACCTGTGCACGCCGAGACGCAAGGCGACCTCTACAGAAAGGCGCGAGTTGCGCGACGGCGCGACCGACCCCGCTCCTCCCATCCACAGGCGCGCTATGACAGGCGGCGTGCACGAGCATATGCGGGCGTGGGAGCCCGAGGAGGACAGAACGATCCTGCGACTGCTCGGCGAGCTGGGCCCAAAGTGGTCTCGCATCGTGCTCTCGCTGCCAGGCGCGTGCGCCCCTCTCGCCTCCCGCAAGCACCGTCCGCGCCGCCGTCGCTGCTCTCCATGACATCTGGCAGCGTCTTCCCCACCGCTCGCTCCTCGCCGCCGCCTCACAAAAGGAGGAGCAAGGGAGCTCGTACCTCTGGCCTGAGCGAGCCCTCGCTGCGCAGGCCGGTCCGTCTCGTCCGTGCGCAACCGCTGGCAGCGGATCGAGAAGGGGCGCAAGCTGCGCGAGGCTGGGCATGCGTCCAAGAATCGGTGCCAGCGCTGCGGCGCCCCGAAGCGAGGGCACGTCTGCCTTGCAAAGCTTGACCAGCGAGCAAGCGCCGACGCGGTGGCGGCAGCGGGCCTCGGCCAGGGCGGCGGCGGCGTCGCGACCAGCGCTCCTTCGCTCCCGCGGCATACCCAAGCCTCTGGAAGAGAGGCGGCCGCCAGCGGAGCATCGGCGGCGGTCGGCGGAGTTTCGGCAGCGGCCGGCGGAGTTTCGGCGGTCGTCGTCCCGTTCGGCGGAAGCCCCCCCCGCGCGCCAGACCGCTCCGAGGCCCGGCCCCTGTTTGGGAGGGTGGGCAGCGAGGGCCGCATCTGCTCTGAGCTCGGATTTGAGGCGAGATTGCACGAGATTGCACGGGATTGCACGAGATTGCACTGGAGTCAGCCACGGCTTGTTGAATGCTTCAGGCGCTCGCCGCCGCCGCGCTGATGGCTGCGCAGGCAGAGGAGGCCGAGGCGGAGGAGAGAGTGAACAGCGGCGGCGCGACTTCGGCGGCGGCGGCGTTGCCTTCGGTGCCGATGCCCGTGCGCCAGATGTCGGGTGCCCCGGCGGTGCCTCCGCTCGTCGAGATGTCGTCCTTCTCCTCCTTCTCGAGGGAAGGGGGCGACGCTTCCGAGACGCTTCCGAGACACCGCCCGAGGGAGGGGGGCGGCGAGGGGGGCGGCGCGGGGGGCGGCGCGGGGGTGGAGGGCGCGGGGGGCGGCGCAGAGGGCAGTGGGGAGGCGGAGGGCGGGGAGGCGGAGGGCGTGTGCGTGGAGGGCGTGGGCGTGGAGGGGGGTGCGATTCGCGGCGAGGCGTTCGGCGCGGAGGGGCAGTGTCGAGGCGAGGCTGCGGGGGGAGGGGAGGGGGGGGAGGAGCCCCCTGGAGCCTCTGCTGGGGCGGCACATCCTCCCGCGTCGGACGAGACGCCGGGCGAGGCTATGCCGCCGGCCCTCCACCACGAATCGTCGGTATATGCTCCGAGAGGCCGCCGAGAGGCCACCGAGAGGCGGCGGAGAGACCGCCGCACCCCTCTCCCCCCCTCGCCTCAACCAATGAATTGAGGACTCAAAAGTGGACCCGCCGGGTTGCTTGTGGCCCCCTCGCCTCGCCGGCCTCCGCGCCGCCCAGTCTCGTGCAATCTCGGGCAACCTCGTGTAATCCGCTTCTCGCCGCCCCTCAGGTCGAGTCTGCCTCCTCCGCCGGCGCGGCTGGCGAGCGGTTAGGCGGCGCGGCGCGCGGTGAGAGCTAGCTCTCACGCCTCACGGGGCAGGAGGGCCGAGGGTGGGTGGGAGGGGGAGGGGTGTGTGTGCATCGGGAGACGGGAGAAAGCGTGTGGGGAGGGGGGGGGTCCCGCTCTTGCCACGACGGCGGGTTTGAGCGCTCGCTCGTCTTGCGAGTTGCCTCCCGGGAGCGCCGGCGCGTGAGCAATGGCGCATGGCTCTTCCACCATCTGTATAAGGTAAGTATCTTGTAAGGTAAACTTCTCCACACAAAACCGCGGAAGCTGCCAGACTTATGACTTTGGGGGGGGCGGCGACCTCGACCGACTATGCTCTATGGAGGACCCGTCGCCACGGATACGCCAGACGGCGCAGGGCAGAAGAGACGGTGAGGCGGAGCAGACGCGCAGGCGGCAGGGCGAGACGAGGGAGGGAGCAGGACTTTGCGGAGATCAGCAGGAGGATGTACGAAGAGATTAGGAGCAGCAGGGACCCGAGGGACCATGTGGAAGACGGCTAGTGCTAGTCCCCCATCTCGGGAGGACGACCCCGGCTAGTCGCCGACCACACCCACAAAGAACCCTGCACAAAGATCGCAAGGGCGGTGACCTGTTCCTTTTTACCCATCTCACAGTCTGAGGGAGGGTGTAGAGGATGTAGAATGTAGAGCGCTGTAGAGCTGTAGAGATGTAGAGCGCTCTGGAGCGCTGTAGAGCTGTAGAGCTCTACATCCGCCGCGTGACGAGGCGCCTGCGTTGTAGAGCGATGTAGAGCGCGATTTTGTTGTAGAGTTTGTTGTAGAGGCTCTACAGCCAAACCGCCGGGAAGGCAGTGACTCAAAGAGGTCGAGCCGCGCTAATGGGGTTTTACCGAGCTTAGTGAAGCTCTGATGGACAGCCCTGACTATCCCTGACACACAGAGAGTCCCTCTGACGGCACACAACACCCTATAACTGCGTCATGACCAGCCTGCCATGTGTCGCCGGTGCCGCATTCGTCGCTGTGCTTCTTTAGCAGGCGGTGGACTGTCGGCTGCGAGGACGGTCGCATTTGCGCGAGGCGAGGCGAGCATTCAGACGCCTTATCTGCGCCATGACTCGCGCCAGCGCGTGCGGGAGCTCCTGGCTGAGCGTTGAGTCCAGGCGAGTTGCGCTGGCCACGATCGCTACGCCGAGCCGAGCTGACGCGCCGAGGTGCCGGCCAGTCGCAGCCGTGAGGCATGCCACAGCAGCAGAGGCATCTGCCACCCATTGGGCGGGCAGACAGAAGGCCAGGGCAGCACTGGCAAGTGCAACGCGCCTCATGTCGGAGAGCGACCGTGCCTCGTTCGCCGCTTATGATGTAGAGTTTGTTGTAGAGATTTCACGTTGTAGAGCGCCTCTACATCGCTCTACAACGCAGGCGCCTCGTCACGCGGCGGATGTAGAGCTCTACAGCTCTACAGCGCTCTACATCTCTACAGCTCTACAGTGCTCTACACTCTACATCCTCTACACCCTCCCTCAGCTCACAGTAGAGAGGTGTCCGTTTTATTTATTTTATTTATTTATGACTTTGGGACTTTCGCCCGGACTTTGCACTTTCGCCCGGATGCGCATGCGGATCGTGAGACGTGTGTGGGAGCCCACTTGGAGCACTTGGAGTGCAGCGGCTCCCGTGGTGTACCTGTGCTAGTGCCAGTGCGCGCCAGTCCCGTGCCCAGTGTCGTGCGAGGGAGTTTTGTTGTAAAATTCTACAACACCACTACGTTCGTTCAAGCACTCTTTCGCCTCGCTCTGCAGGCGCCGATGGTCCGTCCGTAGATTTTACTTGCTCTACGGTACCTAGGAAGCCTGTTGTAGCTAGTTCATTCACACACGTTCACCCTGCATGTTCGCACCACCCCCTACCCGGCTAGGAGCCGCGTAGGTGCCCGAACAGTGTGTGTGTCTCGCGCCTTGCGGGGGGGGAGCGGAAAGGAGGAACCTCTTCCCAAGAGCACCACTCTTGGAGCGCCGCCACTACCACCCAGAGCGCTGCAAGCAGCGCCGGGCAATGACGGCTTACCGCCCACCCAGCCCCCCCTCGGCACACCCCGGCAGCCAATGTGTGACGGCTCGAACCCGCTAAGCCATCCCGCAAGCGGAGCACTTGGATGGAGCACTTGGAGTGCAGTGCGGACAACACGCTTCTTTCGGCGGGCGTTTATGCGATCTCCTGCCGGAAAGGGGGGAATGCACAACGAAGCACCTGGCACGTCGCCTGCCGACGCGCCACTGCTCGGCCAGCGAGTCGTGCTCGGCGGGCTCTCCTCCCGCCCCGAGCTCAACGGGCAGCTGGGCGTGGCGCAGAGCTTCGAGGGCGGGCGGTACGCTGTGGCGCTCGAGGGCGGCGGCGAGAGCGTGCGGGTGCGGCCGGGCAATCTGTCGCCAGCGGTGTCGAGGGTTGGCGTGCCAGTCTCCGATGCGGTCGTGGCAGCGGCTGAGCGAGGCGAGGAGGAGGCGTTGCTGGCGTGGCTCGAGGGCGGAGGGCGGGCCGACGCGACGTACGAGAGAGGTGGCGTGAGCGGCATCACGCTGCTGATGGGCGCCGCCCGCACTCGCCACGAGCGGGTGGTCGATTTGCTGCTGCAGCACGGCGCGGAGGTCAATCTGCAGAGTAGCGACGGCTGGACTGCGCTGATGCTCGCCGCCTTCAACGGCCACGAGCGGGTGGTCGAGCTGCTGATACGGCACGGCGCTGAGATCAACTTTCAGAACAGCAACGGCCTCACCGCGCTGATGGCCGCCGCCAACCAAGGCCACGAGCGGGTGGTCGAGGAGCTGCTACAGCGCGGCGCGGAGATCAACAAGCAGAAGGACGACGGCCTCACCGCGCTGACGCTCGCCGCCGCCCGCAGCCACCCCGCCGTCGTTCTCCGCTTGCTGCGAGCGGGCGCTGACACGGCGGCGTGCGATGCATATGGCAAGACGGCGCTGCAGTGGGCCAAGAAGAAGGGCCACGCCGAGTGCGTCATGGTCTTGTCAGAGGCGGCGGCGGCTGCACACGGCCGGGCAGGGGCGGGCGGCGCTTCCTCGGGCGCGGCAGCGGCAGCGGTGGACGCGCCGCTGCTCGGCCAGCGAGTCGTGCTCGGCGGGCTCTCCTCCCGCCCCGAGCTCAACGGGCAGCTGGGCGTGGCGCAGAGCTTCGAGGGCGGGCGGTACGCTGTGGCGCTCGAGGGCGGCGGCGAGAGCGTGCGGGTGCGGCCGGGCAATCTGTCGCCGGCGGTGTCGAGGGTTGGCGTGCCAGTCTCCGATGCGGTCGTGGCAGCGGCTGAGCGAGGCGAGGAGGAGGCGTTGCTGGCGTGGCTCGAGGGCGGAGGGCGGGCCGACGCGACGTACGAGAGAGGCGGCGTGAGCGGCGTCACGCTGCTGATGGGCGCCGCCCGCAACGGCCACGAGCGGGTGGTCGACTTGCTGACACGGCACGGCGCGGAGATCAACCTGCAGAGCAGCGACGGCGGCACCGCGCTGATCGGCGCCGCCGCCTTCAACCACCCCGCCGTCGTGCGGCATTTGCTGCGTGCGGGCGCTGACGCGGCGCGCGCTGTTGACGGCAAGACGGCGCTGCAGTGGGCCAAGGAAGAGGGCCACGCCGAGTGCGTGCGCGCCTTCGAGGAGCACTCGTCGACCGCAGCAGAGGCTGAGGGGGAGGCGGCGGTCGCAGAATCAGCCGAACAGGCTGCGGAGGCCGCACGCGAGGCGGCAGCGGCAGCGGAGGCGGCGGAGGCGCGCGATGCTGCCGAGGCGGCGCTGCGCGAGGCGGTTGAGGCGTGCGAGCGAGGCGACGCCGATCTCGAGGCGCTCAGGGCGGCGATCAATGCGAACACCCGAGACGCCGACGGTTCGGAGGCGCTGCGGGCGGCGCGGCGGCTGCGCGACGAGCTGGCGGAGCGAAAGACCCGCGAGGCCAGGGCGCTGAAGCGGCAGCGGCAGAAGGAGGAGAAGGCGGCGGCGGCGGCAGCGCGGGCGGCGGAGCGGGCGGCGGAGGAGGCGGAGGAGGCGCGGGCGGCGGAGGAGGCGCGAGTGGCGGAGGAAGCGGATCGGGTGGTAGCAGAGGCTGCGGCGGCGCGGGCGGCAGAGGAGGCGGAGGCGGCGTCGCGCGCAAGGGAGGAGGCAGAGGCAAGGGCAAGGGAGGAGGCGGCAAGGGAGAGGGAGGAGGCGAGGATGAGGGCGGAGGCGGAGGCGGAGGCGGCGGCTGTAGAGGCGGCAGTGGCGGCCGTGGCGGCGGCGGAGGCTCAAGAGGTGGCGGCAGCGGCGGCGGCAGCGGCAGCGGCGGCAGCGGCAGCGTCGGCGGCGGCGAGTGTCGCCGCCCTCGCCGCCGCCGCCGCGCCGCCCGCCGCCGTCCCTCTCGACGAGCTCATCGCGGCGACCGACGGCTTTGCCGAGGCGCGCAAGGTGGGCGAGGGCGGCTTCGGGCGCGTCTACCGCTGCGACGCGCTGCCGTCGCTTCCGCGCGTCGCTTGCGGGTTCGCCGTCAAGACGGCGCTGGTCGGTGTCGGCGCCCAAGGCCTCGCCGAGCTGCAGAGCGAGGTGCGCACGCTCAGCGCGGCATGCCACCGGTCCTTGCTCCCTCTACTCGGCGTCTGCTTGGCGCCGGCGAGAGCGTGCCTCGTCTACCCCCTCTGTCGCGGCGGCAGCCTCGAGGACCGCCTCTACCGCGCTCCAGCCGCGCTGCAGCGGCTCCGCATGCTCGGCTTCGAGACGCCGCCTCCGCCGCTCTCCTCCGCCGCACGGCTCCGCGTGCTGCGCGACGCCGCGAGCGCGCTGCATTACTTGCACACGCTCTCTCCCATGATCCTGCACCGCGACATCTCGGCGGGCAACATCCTGCTCGACGAGCGCGGCAACGGCTACCTCGCCGACGTGGGCCTCGCGCGCGCGGCAGAGGCGACGGCCGGCGGCAATGGACAGGTCTCGCACCTATCGACACAGCGTATCTTTGGGAAGCCTGGCTACATGGACTCGATCATCATGCACGACAACCAGGCTTCGCAGCTCACGGATGGCTTTGCGCTCGGCATCACGCTGCTCGTCGCCCTGACCGGCCGCGGCGCCGTCGGCTTGCTCAACGCGTGCGACGATGCATTGGAGGAGCCCGACACGGCGGAGAGCATCGCGGCGGCCGACGCTGGCTGGTCGGCGGCGCAGGCCGAGGAGCTGATGCGGCTCGTGTTTGGGCTGGCATACGAGCGGAAGAGAAAGCGGATGCCGCTCGCAGAGGCACTGCCGCGGCTGGAGGCGCTAGTCGAAGCGGCGGGGGAGGTGGAGGAGAAGGCTGGGGCCGAGGAGCGCCTGTGTGACCTCTGCTGGGACGCGCCGCGCTCGGTCCGTTTCGCGTGCGGCCACGCTCTGTACTGCGAGGCGTGTGCGCCGCGCGTGCTGGAGCGCGACAGCAACTGCCCGGCCTGCCGCCAGCCGGCGCTGCCCATCGCCGCAACTGGGCGGTTGGTGGCGGCGCAGACGACGTTTCTTCACCAGCCGCCCTCGCGCACCGTGCCCCAGGCGCAGCCTGCAGGCGCCACGGCGGCGGCCGGTGGGCGAGGGGGGCGCGGTGGGCGGGGTGGGCGGGGTGGGCGGGGTGGGCGGGGCGAGCGCGGGAGGCCGCGGGGCGAGGGGCGCGGCGACGGCGGCTCGTAGCTCACACCGCAGTATACTACCCCTACTCTTATGGCTGTATTCCTTCGATCCTGTGTTTTCATTTTGTTCAGGAAACAGCGTTTTGTACCCGCAAATCCCCCCGCCGGCGCCGCCCGCGCGCCCCGGACGGTGTGTGTACGTGAGCTACGTCTCAGTACTCAGAGTAGCCGTGCCCGAGCGGCGTGTAATGGTTTTTTATCTTTTTATTTCATGCGCCTGCCGGGGGGAATTAGGTTCAAATCTGCTCAGACACAAAACTAATACACTCTCGGCAACGTCAACGACCCGTTGTGGTGACACTGCTTGACCTCTAAGCAGACTAAGAGGGCGAGAGATCAGTGTGAGGACAAATGGCAAATGCACACGAGGCAGAGAGTGCCGCCATCTACTGCCGTCGACTCGGGTCTCCGCGGGAGGCTCGTGGCGCTGCCTCAGGCGTCAGTCGTCCTCGCTCGGCAAGTCGTCCCGCTTGAGGATCTCGAGCCTACTCACAAGTGCCACGCGTAAAGAGGCGCCGTTCACGGCAGGTCATCGCGCCAGAAGGAAGCTCGAGCCGGCTCAGCGTGGCGCACTCGCCGCCGCACAGCTCCATCACCTCGTGCCACAGCGGCTTGGGCAGGCCAAGGCACTGCTTCAGTGCAACCTGTATCAATTGGTTGATGATGACTACTCTATCGATTCAGCAGCAAGCGGAGGCACTGCTTAAGCGCAACCGGCCGCGCGCACGCGACGGCGCGCCACGCGCCCTCGCCGGTGGTCAGGCCTGTGTGGCGGCCGAGGAACCAGCGGAACGCGAGCGGCGAGGCGCGGCCTATAAACTAGCATGCACTGGTTACCTAACAAGCCGAGGATACCTCACGGAACGCGAGCGGTTTGGCGCGGCCGGCGGCGACGGCCTCGATGGCCGCACGCTCTCCGCCTGTGAAGATGCGCGTCCCGGGCGACACCTCGACTGCACCCTCGAGCGACCCGTCGCCGTGCACCTGGATTGGTAATGAGTGCGCGTTTAATAACTAGTAATGGTGCCTCGAGCGACCCGTCGCCGTGCACCAGCAGCCCACCCGACTCCTGCTCCGACGGTCCTCCCAAGTACGCGCACAAATCGTCTCCGAACGCGGCGAGCAGCGGGCCGACCAGCGCCTCCGCCGCTCCCGTCTGCCGCAGCAGCAGCTCCGCCAGCTGCCGGTTCCCGCGCGCCGCCAAGGGGCGGTTAAGAGCGACTCCGTCCGCACCCGCGGCCGAGGAGCGAAGCACGAGCACGACCTGCTGCCACTCCTATTCATCATGCATAACCAGTGTGTCTCTCGAAATGATCGCAAACACCGGCACGACCTGCCGCCGCTCCTGCCCGGCCTCCTGGTACGCCTGCAGGAGCGCGCCACCCGCAGAGGCGGCATCAACGGTCGCCTGAAATCATTGGCAATGAGCAGTGACGGATCGCCGACTGGATAAGAATCGTCGGCAAGAGCGGCTGCCACTCCTGCACGTGATTGAGGAGCGGCCCCCAGAATCAGTCATTTACACGCGCGCGCAGAATCGCGGCATTGGCGGTCGCCTTGCCGCCCTTGGCCTTGGCCAGGAGCGCCTGCAGGGGAGCAGCGCCTGCAGGGTCAAAGGGAAGGCCCCGAGATCGTGCCGCCCTTGGCCTTGGGTCAGCAGCGCCGGAACTGCCTCGGGAGGTGGGCTCCACATCCCGGGCAGAGATTGCACGAGATTGCACAAGAGTGCAGTGAGATTGCACGAGATTGCACGAGCCTCTCTCCTCTACCGTAACAACTCCTCCTCCCCTCTCTCCTCTCCCTCTCTAGCGCCTGAAGCGTCTCCGCGACGAACCCCTCGCACAGCCGGTAGCAGTACGCGGTGTTGGCCAAGAAGCGCGCCTGCCAGAGACCCTGGCACAACTCATCCTCTCGACACCTCAGCATCAAACGAAGTGCTGGCCGGGAGCCTCGCCTGTCAGTGACCAATCAAACATGAACCAACTCGCTGATCATCGCATACGCAATGCTCGCCAGGCCCCGCGCCTCCTCGCCGCCATCACCGGCGCTGCCGCCTTTGGCCGCCGCGTCGCCGCTGTCGCCCTCCTCTGGGACAGGCAGCTCCGCCTGAAGAAGGAATGTCTCGGAAGAGTCTCGGAAGTGTCTCGGAAGTGTCCTCTGGGCCAGGTTGCCCCCGCCTCGAAGCGAGAGCGGAGTGCGCTGCCCAGCACGCCCCCTCCGCCGCCTACGCCATCACCTCGGAGACTCTCGGAGACTCTCTGGGGCGATCTCCGCATCCGGGCCTCGAGAGAGATGGGGAGATATGGGGAGATATGATGGTCAGAGACAAGCATCTGGCTCTCTCGCCGCCGCTGGAGCGCAGGCTCTGCGTCAGCTGCGCCTCGAGTGGCATCCGGAGCAGCATGCCGCCCGCCTGCAGGGAAAGGCCCAGGAGCTGTCTCGGAAGGGACCAGGAATTGTCTCGGAAGGGTCTGTGATGTGCTGCCCGTTTCCCCTCCCGTCCGATTTCACTCTCTCGGTGGCGCGCCTCCACTGGCGACTCGTGCGCCCAGCTCCCCTCGGTGTACTCGCGCCACAGCTCCTCGCTTTGCTCTTTCAGCAGCGCCTACAGGAAGCTCCGAGAGGTTCCGCGAAGGGTTCCCGGCTCTGCCGCCGCTGCCGCGACAGCGGCGCCTCGTTGCCGGGCGCGACGACGAGACGCGGTGCCGAGGACGCCGCTGCCGCGGAGGACGGCGTCGCGTCGTCCGGTGCGGCGCCCTCTCCGTCCGGCGTCGCCTCGGTTGTCAGCTTGAGGCCTCCGGAGATGAGCTGCTGGCGGAACTTGCGCCACTCCTCAGGGCTTGGACCAGAGGCGGGCGGGTCGGCGGCGCACAGTGCTGGAGCGCCGCAGCGGGTAGTGCGTGTAGGGAGCAGCCTGAGGGTGGAGCAGGCCGGCACGGAGAGGAGGAGGAGTGCGGCGCTTGACGGCCACATACACAACCAGATGAGAATTCTTTAAACCAAGTCGTTCTTTCAGACGCCGTAGCGCGCTGCCATGGTGGCCGCTGCCTTGGGCAGTGGCCACGGTGGCCGACCCAGGGCTCCTACGCGGCTACAGCCGCGCGCGACCGCTGCCGCTGGCACCGGTCGCGAGGACTCTGGCTCGGCATGCGCGCCACCGGCCGGTGTGCCGCGCTCCGCAGAACGACGCCTGGATGCAAAAGGCATCCCGGGCACGTTTCAGCAGAGCTCGGCCGGCCGGCCGCCGCGATGGGGCGGCGAGCACCTGGAGGCCCCGCCTGGCGCTGCTGCTTCAGCTCGACCGCCGGGCGCGCCGCGAGGCGAGCAGCTGCGAGGCGAGCAGCTGCGAGGCGAGCAGCTGCGAGGCGAGCAGCTGCGAGGCGAGCAGCTGCGAGGCGAGCAGCTGCGAGGCGAGCAGCTGCGAGGCGAGCAGCTGCGAGGCGAGCAGCTGCGAGGCGAGCAGCTGCGAGGCGAGCAGCTGCCAGGCGAGCAGCTGCCAGGCGACCTGCTGCGAGGCGACGTCTGCCGCCGCGCTGGCCACCCGCTTCCTCGCCAGCCCCTTCTCACTCTCGAGGAGGAGCTCTGCGACGTGCTTGGCGTCAGTCTGGACGACGCCGACGTGGTTGTCCTCCGGGAGGCCCTTCGGCGGGTGGGGAACCAGAGCGAGCTGCGGCGGGCGGGGCCGCGAGGCGGCGGCGAGTGGCGGAGCGTCATGCGATGCGGCGGCTGCCAGGGCTGTGTCCACCCGCGACTCTTTGACCTGGGCGCGCAGTGCGCTTCGTCTCCCTGGGGCAACCCTTTCCCCCTCCGCGATCCCCGCGACTCGTTTGGGCGCAGGGAGTGCGTCCGCGAGTTTGCTGCGCGCCTTCGGGCCAGCCCTGCTTTTGTCGAGCGCGTCCGAGGTTCCGCTTCTACCCGCACGGGCTGGCGCCGGCCGCGGAGCTGCTTCCCCTGGCCCAGTTCTCGTCCACCAACGAGTTCTTGCACCAGGCGCAGCGACGGTACACCTCTGGCGTGCACCATGCTAACTGGCTCGACCTTGCCGAGGAGCTTACCGACGAGGCGCTTCGCAGCGGCGGCCGCAAGGCGCCCTCCAAAGGCAACAAGGTCGGAAGACGCCAGAACCACAAATGCTGGCGAGAGGCGATCCGTTTTGTCGCCGTCAGCCAACCAGGGGCCGGCGCCTTCCTCAACGCCATCCCCATGCGTGATGACATGAAGATGGAGTCCTGGGCGATGCGCGTCACCGTCCAGCGCCGCCTTGGGCTCCCCCTTGATGTCGCCTGCCAGGCGGTGGAGGCAGGCAAGAGGGCACCCAGCGGCCAGCTACACGACGTCCTTGGCGACGCCGCGATGGTTAACCCTCGGTCAAAGCATGCTACAAGACACAAATTTCTACTCAAACGTTTGGTCAAATGCCTCCGCTCGGCGTGGGGCATGATCATCGAGATGGAGCCGACCGCACACCTCAGTTACAGTAATCCAAAACAACCTGACGTGGCGGCGGCAAACATCGGCAGGGGGCACAGGCGCCTCGTTGCCGATTTGAAGCTCACGAGCTCGCTTGCGAGCACGGGCAAGGACACGGCCGGCGACGGAGAGCTCGGCTGGAAGGGGGCCTACGTGCGCTTTGGCAACACGGAGACCGGGCTGCTCAAGTTGGTCAAAGGGCGCGGCAAGTGGTCTCCGTCGGAAGCGACGGCAGCGGCGGTGGCGGGGGAGGAGGAGGAGGCCGAGGAGGAGGGGGAGGAGGGGGAGGAGGAGGATGCCCCCAAGAGAAAGCTCACGGAGCAGCCTGGCGATTACCCCTTTGCGCGGCAGCAGGATTGCGATCTACGTTTGTTTGATTTTGAGGCTTTCGGAGGCTTTGGCAAGGAGGTTCGCAGCACCCTGAGGGAGGCGGCGAACCAGCTGAGCAATAAACTTTCGCACGCTCAGCACCTGGACGAGGTCACATGGACCACCAAGAACTGGCACGGGCTGCAGATGCAGCGCTTGTCTGTCGTCCTCCACACCGCCGTGGCGTGGCAGACGGTGAACGAGCTAGCGTGCGGGGAGAGCGGCATTGTGCATGGTGCGGAGTGCATTGCCGTTCTTAACGGAGTCGCTTAGGCGGCTCCGGTGGTGAGCCTGTGTGTGTGCCAGTCCAGTCGACCGTCCCCTCCCCTCAGCAGAGCGGGCAGCCTCTATGATTCGTAGACCATCTGCGGCCGCAGCGCCTCGGAGAGGCGCGCAGGAGGCGCGCTTTGTACTCGGGTTTAGATGGTAGCGGGGGGGCCCGCCGGAGGCTGGTTACTGCTCTTTCTTTTTTACAGTCCTGTGCCCAGTGTCGTGCGAGGGAGTTTTGTTGTAAAATTCTTTTTTAGGGATTTCACGGGAAAGAGAAGGTGTGTTGCTAGCCGTCGCCCACGCTTGAGCTCCGCACTTGGAGCACTTGGAGTGCAGTCATCAACCGCACATCCAGGGCCGGGGGGCTAAGAAGCACACCCAGCGGGCCGGATGATTGACCAAAATCACCCCGTTTTTGCCCATTTTCGGTCATCCGTCAAAATATCTGAAGATCCTACTATAGGATTATCCCCAAACCTTGCTCAGCTGATCCAGCCTGGGGGGAAGGCCAGGCCTGGGCAAAGAAACCAGTACCTCAACCGGCTTTCCTGAGCGTCACAGCTCGGTGATCGCGCCGGCCGGACACCACTGTAACGTCCGTTCCGGGCATTTGAACGCGACCTTCGGGGGCAAAGACATGCATGGGCTCTATGGCTCAGACACGACTCCTCTTTCTTGGTCCCTTCTGAAGTTCTGATGCCCTAGGCCACACTGAACTCTTCTCTCGGCCTGCGGTGCACTTCCAGTCGCCGACCACGCGCGCCACGCTCGCTGGCCACACTCGCTAGCGATGCTGATCCTCGCTCGCCGCGCGGCCGTGTCTGCCTGCCTGCTCGCGGCTGCACACTGGCGCCCGCCTCTGCCGGCGCTGGCGCGTCCCGACAAGGACGGCATCTTCAGCGACTGCAGCGGCTTTTGTGTGAGCAGCCAGGACGACAGGCCGGCGGTGTGGGACAACCCGTGGGTGGCGGAGCAGGCGCTGCCGAGCGCGATGGAGCGGCTGCGCCGCGTGATCGAGCTCAAGCTGCAGGGCAAGGTCGTCGAGCAGGACGAGCGGTACCTCCGCGCCGAGTTTGCCAGCCGAGGGCCGCTGGGCGACGCGGTTGACGACGCCGAGTTCTTCTTCACGCCGGACGACGTGCTCGTGCAGTTCCGCGCGGCGCGGCGCGGCGACGCGCCCGACTTTGGCGCCAACCGGAAGCGGCTCGAGAGGGCGCGCATCGCCCTCGGCTGGGAGAAGGTGGAGGTGCTGCGCAACCGCAGGCGAGCGCTCGTCGTCGTCGAGTCGCCCTTTGACAGCTTCGGGCCCGCCACCTACGAGCGCGACGAGCTCGGCTTCACCAACCGCGACCTGGTGCCCGCGGAGGCCAACCAGAAGGAGCTGTACGGCGACCTCGACCCGCTCGCGGCGCCGTGGCGCAAGCCGACCCCGTCGATGCGCGACGCCAAGGACGGGCTCGGCGAGCTGCTGAGGCGAGAGTCGGACGACCGCGTCCGGAGTCGGTAGTCGGGTCTGCTGCCGGTGCGTTTTTCTGTGCGCATTGCACCGAACGAGAGCGTGGCATGCTTACATATGTGCGCGTCGGCAAGACTCTACCCAAGACGCGTCGCGTTGTGTGACCGTCACCGCCCGTCTACGGCTTTAGCGTCCACCCATACGTACGGCTTTACCGCGTTGGTGTCCCAGTCGTTGGTCGGACTGTGTTTCGCCTTCCCATTCAATCAATCACGGCTGCACAGGCATCACAGGCGGGTTGTTGCACGAGTATATGGGACACGATGTCTCAAATATGAGGGGCTTTGACTCCTACCAGCTCCTGACGCTATCCCTGGCAGCTCTAATGACCAGGATCAGTAGTGCTATAATAGAGGGTGCCCATACTAGCGCAGGAGCTGCCACACTCGCCCGGACCGTCCCCTTCTGGGGCCGGTTCCGCAGCCCGCGAGAGCCGACAGCGGGGCCGTGCCGCGGGTGCCTACTGCCGAGTGCCACAAACACTGCGCCGTCCCGCCATCACCTACAGGCTGTCTTGTGTGATGGTTGGGATGTCCAAACGCCACCATCTTGGCTCTTGCGACCTCAAACCCGCGAGCTGTATGGGTGGTCCAGACGTCGACAGACGCCCGAGGACCACGGTGAAGCTGAGCTGGAACGAGTCGACAAGTCTCTTTTGAGCCCGTGGCGGTCGCCGGCTGAGTCGCTGTGCACGGACCGGTACCTCAGGCGTCACCTCCGCAGCCTCAGGTCTCACACTCCATCACCTCCGCCGGGACGCCGTCGGTGGCACGCTCGGCGGCGAGTTTGTGGCAGCTCCACAGCGAGCGCGGCGTCGAGCCTATTCGGTCTGGTCGGTTAGGCGCACTCCCTGGGTGCCAGGGAGTGCGCCGAACGCGCGAGCGGTGCGTCCTGGCAGCCCGCGCTGGCTCCGGAGCTGCCACAAACTCGAGACACGCTTTTTTGGGACATTTTCGACGCTTTTGTCCCATATACTCGTGCAACAACCCAGGCTCTGACTCATGAGTCTTGAATTCCGAAAATCAAAACGCGTCCCGACGATCCACACGAAACCAGGACGCACGGCACCCGACGCCGTCCGCGGCGCGTCCCCGCGCGGCCTCAACCAAAGAGGCTCAAGGCTGGGACCTGTGGGTGGCAAAGAGGATCTCTCGACCCTGTCCTCAATCCGTATGGCGCTCCGGCCACATTCAGATCACCCCGCGGACGATCCCCCATCGGGAGGGAAACCATCCATTTCACCCCCCCCCCCCCCTCCCCAGAGAGACCTCTTAGCTCGTTGACGGGACGAAGTCCAGCTCCAGTAGTAGAGAGCAGCTCTCAGCTCAGCCTCGCGTTGACGGCCCCCTTTAGATCCGACGCGTGCAGTAGTGTGCTCAGTAGACGACCGAGGGCGACGAGGCAGCGCCGTCGTCCGACTCCTTGCCCTTGCCAGGCGAGAGGATGGTGGAGAGAGCCTTTGCAATCGGGCCGGGGGCCTTGGCCTGCTCGGGCGCCTCGGCCGCCTTTGCCTGGAGGGCGGGGGCGCGCTAGGTGAGAGTCGATTGGAAGTGAGCGCTTCGCAGCTGACTGCTCGTTTGCCTGGGGGAGGGGAGGAAAGGGGAGTCTCGTTGTCTCTTGATTTGTCTACCTAAGGTATGCGTGTGGGAGGGCTAATATTGGCTGCCTCTACCTCCGTCTCTCTTGCGAGCTGTGTCCGAGTGTCCCGACTGTGCTGTCTCTATGCGCGCCTGGAGGGCGGAGGCGCGCTCGCGCTCCGCCTCGAGCGAGAGCATCAGCTGGGCCACCGCCTGCTCCGCCGGGTGGAGGGCCTGCCCGCCTGTGGACATGTCTCGGACATGTCGTGGACACACGTGTCTTGGACATGTCCGCCGGGTGGAGAGGGTCTGTCTCCGCCCTTGCACGACTCCGCCGCCAAGGCAGCCGTCACCCACGCAGCTGGGCGAGAGTCGGGCTCGGGTTGCGGCGCGGGCGGCGCGGCGGCGGGCTCGAAGCCCCTCGGCCGGTCGGACGGGGGCGCGGGCAGCTTGCCTGTGGGGGGCGGCGGAGGGCGGGGTGAGCAGGTGTGTGGCGTGGTGTAAATTCTTTTACGTGTGGTGCGGGAGAGGTGCGGATGGGGCGGGCGGGGCGGGGGAGCGGGCGGGGGGGAGGGGAATGGGGAGAGAGGCGGAGGGGAGGGGCGAGGCGGGGGCGGCCGAGCGGGAGCGAGGGGGCGGCCAAGGCGCGGCTGCTGCGCGCCGTCCGGGTCCTCAAAGGAGGAGGTGCGCTCAATCTTGCTGCCGCCGCGCCGGCGGTGAGGGGGCGAGTCGGGGACGTCGTTGGCTGCCGCCTCATTGTCGCCGAGGAGGGCGGCGACGCCGTTGTAGGACGACACCTTGGGCATCGACTCCTGCCAATAGTCGACGATCTGTGCGCGGCGGGGCGCGGCGGGAAGCGTTAGCGGGCGAGGGCTCGTGTCGCGCGTGTGCGTGGGTCTGTGACGACTCTGTGCGCGCGTGGAGCGCCGCGTTGTGTGGTGGGCCGGCCGCGGCACACCTCCTTGGGCGAGACCTTCTTCTCCTTGCCCGACTCCAGCGCCTTCTTCACGCGCCCCCACTTGCTGTGGTCAGTGAGCCTCTTCGCGTTTGCCGCCTCGTCGGTGAGCGACTTGGGCGCAATCAGCCTGCGGGTGCGGGGTGGCGGAGCGGCGGCTCGGCGCGGTGCGCAGGGAACGCGGCGAGGGCGGGGCGGGGCGTGGAGGGGTGGGAGCGCCTGGAGACCGCGGCCATTTGTCGCAGGTTGACTACTCCTGGGAAGAGACCGTCCCCACACACTTGATGACCGCAAATTGCCCGCTCGCCGTGAACAGCGTCGCCGTGAACAGCGCCTGAGGATGAAGAATTCCGTTCTGGTTGGTGTCCAGTCTGGTCCAGTCCGAGCCTAACTGTTCTTCACCTTCCTACCTACCTACCCTTGTTCACCTCCTGTTGACGTCCCAGGGCGTCGCGTCTGCCGACCCCCGCCTTCTAGATAGAATGCCGCGACGCGTGCTACTCGAGTAGCATGGGGGGCGCGGGGTCGCTAGAGGTTACAGGTTAGGTTACTCTTGACTTCGAGCGCAGCAGCCTCACATGTCACTTCCTATCGTCTGTTGTTTGAGTTGTGCCCTTGTTTGTGCCCTTGGCACCGTGGAGTGCTGGGGGGGGCGACAGGGAGGATGTGGTCCTGAGTTATGTGTACGCCGACTCAGGGTGTGTGGCAGCCAGCTGGCTGTGTGTCTTGTGAGCTTGTTTGTGTCTGTGTGTCGCTCGTGCGTGTCGTCATCATCTGTCCAGCGTCCACCCATACCGCGTTGCCGTTGGTGTCCAGTCCGAGCCTGGCTGTTCTTCACCTTGCTACCTACCTACCTAGCAGCTAGAGGCTAGCCCTTAACCCAGTAAGACGCACCCCTCAGCGGATTCCATATAACTCAAGAAAGTTGGATTATAACTCATCGACTCGTATGACTCACAAAATTCATAGACGCTCGGACTATTGTTCACATGTTCAGACCGCCCTGCCTTTGATCCTATTGTGTGCATCAAGGGCCGCGACAATTTCTGGGCGCCACGAGCATACCAAGTTCGACCATCTGGAAGTTGACAGGGGGTGCAAGCCAGACATCAAAGACGACACACACGGACTCGTAGCACGAGGAGCCAGCCCGATTGCTCCTTGCCAAAAGCAGGAGTAGCCGACCGATTCGAGTACTTGGAGCATAGTCACTGAGCTCTCTAAAACCTGGAGGCGCTGGCGCGCAGGCCTCGCGCAGCACGTCTGGTCTTGAGGAAGACCTGCGGCAGCGCGAAGACGAGAAGGTGATCAGCGATAGGGGCGCTGGAGTGGTGAGGAGCGGGCGTTGCTTGCTCGCGGGTGCTAGTGCTCGCGCAAAAGTTGCGGGAAACAACGCGCGTCCTTCGGCCCGCCGGGAATTGACCTCCGCGCACGCCTGCCCTCGACTCCTCGGCACCGCGGCCGGCCGCAATGGCGTGCAGCTGCTGCAAGGACGACAAGACCCGCCGCTGCTGTGAGGCCTTTGCGGCCGTCATGCCGTGGTGGGCTCTGCTCGGGATGCTTCTCGTCGTGACTGCCTTTGCCATGCTCGGCAGAGGTGTGCTTGGGTAGTCTGACACCCGCAACACACACGGCCACGCTAGGAAATTTGACCCGGGTCACTCGATGCCACAGGAATCACCGACCTGGACGGGATCATGAAGGCGCTGATCACGGACGGGCTGCTGAAGAGGATAGTCTACGCCTTCATCTCGCTCGTCCTCGCGCTCAACATCCTCCTCTTCGAGCGGATCATCCGATTCAAATGGCGCGCAATCCACCCGCCTCTCCCACCCACCCAACCCGTCTCACCGCCCGCGCTGCCGGCGCAACAATGCGAGACCGCGTCCTCACCACAGCTACCCGAGCTTGCCTCACCTTTCGCCGCTATTGAATCGCGCAGGGCCATGCACTTTGCGCTGCCGCGAGGCTCCTGCGGCGTCGGCTGCGGCTCGGTGCGGCCGTGCTATGGAAAGCACGCGCGCCGCGGCTGCTACTGCTACGAGGTGACCCTCGCAACAATCTCGTGGACGCTCGAGATCCTCTCGGTCCTCTCGGCGATGTTGACCGTGCTGCTGATGGCTGTGATTGTCATCTACGCTGCAGGCCCTCACGCCAAGATACACGGCGTGGGCAGGCCCGGTTCCCGCATCGACCTTGGTCTCACCTCTCCCTGCCTCCCTGGCAGCGTGCACCGCCCTCAACCTCACCGCTGATGATTTCGCCGCGATCAACAAGCAGATCAACGACGCCATCGACGGCAGCACCCATCCTCTTGCGTCCATTCACGGCGACTGGAGTGAGCGCCATGACGCTTCGGTGCTGCGTGTGAGCAGGCCCCGCCATCCTCGAGGAGGAGAGGGACTCGGCCGATCTGTGAGACCAGCGACGACGGGAGACCGGCGAACGCCGACCCCCTCACAAGCCGTCACTGAAACAGGTACGACGCGATCTGCAGCGACGACAGCCCAAGCCTAAAGTCCATCGCCGTCGATGCCGCGCTGATGGTCTCGATAGCTCCTCGTGCCCGTTGAGGCGTGACACGACTGCGACGCGGAGGGTGTGGGCCGATCGCCTTGTAGGTTGGCGGCTCCTCGCTCAAGCTAGTCGGGCACGACGTCGTCCGCGCCTGCTTCCTCGCCTCTTGGGCCGAGCACGACAAGGTGAGAGGTGGCGGATAGATTTGAAAAAGCACCCGCACGCCAATGTGAGAGGCAACGGTGTGGGCACAAGGCGATGAGACTGACCGACAAAACGGCCAAGGCGTCGGGTTCGGCGTCGCCGTCCTCTGTGAGCCCGGTGCTGACAGCATGACCACGAGGCGGTCAGAGTGTTGCCCTCGGGATGTCTGCCCAGCCTCCACGCTCTCTCCAATGTCCATGCAAAGATCACGCGCGTGCGTGCGCTGCCGCTGGCTGCGGCCACACCTGCGCCGCTGCCCCGCTGTGCGCGACGCGCACTCTCACGCACCGCGTCAGGCGTCACAAAGGACACAAAAACCTTCATACTTTAATGTTCAAATGCTAAAAGCCGTCGCCATCGGCGCCACCGCCTCCCACGCATTCAGCGCCGGGTCGTACCGCTCGACTGAGCTGAGGGTGCCTCCGCCGCCGCTGCCGCCCACCGCATAAAGCTTGCCGTCGAGCACCGCCACGGCGTGACGACTTCGAGCCGTCGCCAACGGAGCCACCGCCTCCCACGCATCCAACGCCGGGTCGTACCGCTCCACCGAGCTGAGGATGTCGTCTTCGTTGAAGCCTCCCACAGCGTACAGCTTGCCATCGAGCACCGCCATGTCGTGAGTCTGCCGAGCCTCCGCCATCGGCGCCACCGCCTCCCACGCGTTCGTCGCCGCGTCGTACCGCTCCACCGAGCTGAGGCAGCCGTTGTCAATGTTGTACCCGCCCACAGCGTACAGCTTGCCGTCGAGCACCGCCACGGCGAGCTCGTCCCGCGCCTCCGCCATCGGCGCCACCGCCTCCCACTCGTTCGTTGACGGGTCGTACCGCTCCAGCGAGTTGAGGAAGCCGTCGTTGCACCCGCCAACAGCATAGACCTTGCCTTCGAGCACCGCCACAGCGAGACCCCACCGCTCCGTCCCCATCGACGCCACTGCCTCCCACGCATTCGTCGCAGGGTCGTACCGCTCGACTGAGCTGAGGACGTCGTCGTCGTTGTGGTTGACGCCGCCCACAGCATACAGCTTGCCTTCGAGCACCGCCGTGCCGTCGAAGGCATCGGCGCCACAGCCTCCTCCTCCCACTCATTCGTTGACGGGTCGTACCGCTCAAGCGAGTTGACAGTCCCACCCTCGCCGTCGTGGCTGCCGATCACGAGCATGCGTGGCCTCTCGCGCTTCTTCAGCGTCTCCTTCCAGCCGCGGCGCCACGCGCGGCACGTCCCCTTGACGGCGTGCTCCTTGGTCGGCAGCTGGGCGAGGATGTGCGGGGCGAGGTCCGGCGAGAGGAGGACCTCGGAGAGGACCCACTCGGGCTGCTCCACGAGCCGAGCGGCGTGCTCCTCCGCCACGCGCAGCGCGGCGTCGCTCGCGCCCGCCTGCGCCTCGATGATGGCGCACAGCTGCGCTGGGGAGAGGCCCGCGACGCGCGCGCCGATGCGGTGGGAGGCCATCCACGCGGGCGGTCGCTTGCTGCGAGAGACACAGCCTGAAGGCCTTGGATTTCGCTTGTTTTGTGTACGGTACGCTCGCGAGGGGGGGACCTCAAAGGGACGCCGGCCGATCGAGCGCGGCACGCACCACCGCCGTGTGGGCGCGAAGGTACCCGCGCTCCTCGACGTGCCTGAGCTCTCGCCGCGTCGCGTCGAATGCGCGGCGCAGCTGGTGGAAGGGGACGCGCGGGTGCATGTGGTGGACGGCGTGGTAGTTCATGCCCCAGGAGAGCCACTCGTACGCCGGGTGGGTGAGCACCACCCGTGCAGTGTGCCTGCGGTGCGAAGACACCAGCGTCAGGGTGTGGCTACGGTACCCTGCAATGCCTGTCGGAGTACACGGCTCTGCGTTCAGAGTCTAGGGCGGCGCGCCGCGCGTCGCAGTCGTGGTCTGTCGACGTGTGCTGCGCGATAAAGTGCCCCCACAGAGCCGGCTGGCCGAGGAGGAGGGGCAGCAGCCAGAGCCGCACAAGCCAGTGCCGCGCGGCGGGCGAGGCCAGCGCGAGGAGCGCGCACGCGACGTACGCCGCGCTCTGCACCCGCGTCGACGCGACCACGCCTCGCCTCGCGTGCGGCGGCACCCACGGGCCTTCTGCTCGCTCTCCCAGCGCGGCGCTGCGGCAAAAGTGGTAGAGCGCCACCGCCATCTCGCCGCCCAGCAGCTTGTTGAGGTAGTTGCGCAGGCTGCCGTTTGCGCCCGGCAGCTCGGGGTCACGCGCCCACACCTAGGTCTTGTGTGTGTACGCTCACTCGGGTTGTGGGGTTGGCAGCCCAGCTGGCAGAGAGCTGGTGAGTTTGTGTGTCTGTATGTCGCTCCTCCGTGCCGTCGTCATCTGGCCAGCACCCACGCATGCCGCGCCGGTGTCCGAGCCCGACTGCTCTTGCCTCTCTGTATCTATCTCACGCCTGCGTGAACTCGTGGTGCTCGCGGTGGAACCACTTGAATGAGTCGGCGTTCATGAAGATTAGGAGGCCGAGCGGCCAGGCGACGAGCTGGCAGAGCCATGCGCTCTCAAAGGCGGTTCCGTGCGTGGACTCGTGGAAGGGCATGTACAGGTGCGAGAGCACGACGCTGTGCGCCAGGACAGCCAGCGGCCAGCAGCGGCCGGCAAGCGCTGATGCAGTGGTGCAGCAGACGGCCAGCGCCGCAGCGGTCAGCGCGAGCAGCGAAAGGTGGCCGCAGAGGTGGCGTAGCCCGATTGCGTCGCTGCGCTGGAACAGGTCAGGCCTCGCGCGCTCGAGCTTGTGAGTGGTGGCCACGCGAGAGGTGCTGGCGGAGGTCGCACACATTTATATATCCAGTACACATCACCCGCTACCCAACCGACCGCGTGAGATAGGGTGCTGACCTTTCTCGCCCGAGGCTCGCCGTGGCCCCACACGGCGGCCTCTGCTCGCGTTTTCGAGCCAGGACCTTCGTCCGGGCCCACGGCCGGCACGCCATCATCGATTCCGCGCGCTCGGCCTCGCCCGGCTTGCTGTGCTGATATGCGCGTCATCTTCAAACACCCCCCCCCACGCACCTGGGGACCCCCCTCTAGGTCGACGGTCTGACCAGGTGGAGGTGGGGGGGGGTAGCTACACCCCCCTGTCGCTCAGCGGTCCCGAGCCAGCGGCAGCTGACCCCCCCTCCGGTAGCTTACCCCCCCCTCGGTCCCGCCCCCTAAGCCAAAAACACCGATGGTGGCCGTCCGCTGGCGTGAGTGGTGGCGATCGGTCCCTAACCTGTCGCAAGTGACGTACACGCACCGAGTATACGTATTCCCGAGAGGGCGTAATGTGATGCGTATGCATATGGGCCTCCGTGCATATGCGTAGCAGTACAGGCAACGATTGTAGCGGGACGCCCAGCAACGGCCGCAAGGCGCGCGATAACTCAAACGGAAGGACGACCGACTCCACAAGTCTCAATCGGGATCGGATCAACACACGCGCGCTACCACTATGCACTAACCCCCGAGGCGCAAGAGAACTGCTCCCGCCGGCTTTCTTGGAGCTCTTGGAGCGCAGCTCTGCGCGAGCCTGACTGTCGTTCATCTTTCTACATAACATACATAGCACCACCAGTGCTTGCACTTTGAATGCCTTGGCGCTTGGGGCTCCTGCCCGTGTCGGGTGTGGAGATGCGAGGGTCGCCCCCCCTTGCCCCACCACTTTGTGTGTGTGGAGAAATTTACCTTACCTACCTTACCTTACAAACAGAACAAAGCCCGAAACTCCATGCGCCCCGAGCTGACCGCACTGGTCACTTTCGCCCCCTCGCTCCCCACCCATCCAACTCGCCGAGTGCCGAGGTGCTGCAGAACCGCGCGATCTCGGGCGATCTCGCGCTATCTCGGAGCTCCACGCCACGCCGCTCCCCCCCCACCCACCCCCACCTCACCCACCGCCGCGCCGCGCTGTCTCGGGCGATCTCGGAGCGTCTCGGGCGATCTCGGAGCGTCGCTCGCGCGGGGGCACACTCTAGGTCTTCGCGACTCCAGCCTCGCCCACCGCCCGCGCGTACGCCACCGCCGCCTCCACCGCCGTGTCGAAGGAGCCGAGGTAGACATCCTTGCCGTCCACATGGTGCTGTGCTCTGAAGCGCGAACGTTCCCTGCTCACGTTCTTGTAGCCGGTGCGGCTGCTGGTCGAGAGGTGCAGCCGCAAGCCCTCCGCCTCCGCCGCCACCGTCGGAGGAGGTTGGGCGGGAGGCTGGTACTCGCCGACCGCCCGCGCGTACGCCACCGCCGCCTCCACCGCCGTGTCGAAGGAGCCGAGGTAGACATCCTTGCCGTCCACATGGTGCTGTGCTCTGAAGCGCGAGCGTTCCCTGCTCACGCCCTTGTAGCCGGTGCTGCTGCTGCTCGAGAGGTGCAGCCGCAGCCCCTCCGCCTCCGCCGCCACCGCAGCCGCCTGTCGCGAGGAGCCCGCACGGCGGTCGCCCCCGCGCGGCCTCGAGCTTCGCCCCGCCTCGGGCAGCTGCAGGTGCGACGGGAAGATGGCTCGCCAGCGGGCGAGAGCGGCGTGCTCGGGGCTTATGTACTTGCGACCGCTGATGCTGCAGCCGCGCACCTCGTAGAACGGCGTGCCGTCCACGTACTCGCCGCGGATGACGCCCTTGTAGCCCGTCTCCGTGTAGAACGACAGGATCAAGGCCGCCCCCTCCGCCCCCGCAAGCCGCACCGCGTCGAGCCCCGCGCCGGACGGCTGCGGCGGCCAGACCGCCGCCTTCGGCGGGATGACCACCACCAGCTGCGGTGGCGCTCCCAGCGGCGGCGCCGGCGCCGGGCGCGGCGCGAGCTCCGGGGCCGGGAGCGCCGACGGCCCCGCCCCGCCGCCGACGCCCGCCAGCCGCTTGGGCGGCGGCTCCTCCTCCTCCTCCTCCGCCCCGAGTCTCCGCTTCCCTTTTGAGGTCGTCGCCCTCGCCCACACCCCTGCTACGGCCGCGCACACCCTGCTCAGCAGCCCCGGCGGGCCGCCCTCGCCCGCCGAGCATCCCTCCATTCCCTCCGGCGATGAAGGAGAGGCGCCCGAGGCGTCGGCGGGGGCTGGCCAGCCACCGCCTCCGCCTGGCGCGCTGGTGGCCACCGGCCGCGCTGGTGGGGCCGGCGCCGGCTCGCCCGCGCCCGCGCCCGGCGGCGACCCCGCCTCATCTCCCGCCGCCGTCTCCGCCTCTCCCCCCGGCGCCAGAGGAGAGGCGCCCGAGGCGTCGGCGGGGGCTGGCGAACCGCCGCCGCCGCATGGTGCGCGCGCTGCAGCGGCCGGCCGCGCTGGTGCGGCCGGCGCCGGCTCGCCCGCGCCCGCGCCCGGCGGCGACGCCGCCTCTTCTCCCGCCGCCGAAGCCTGGCGAGAGGATGGAACGAAGTGAGTGAGTGAGGTGTGCGCTGCGTGTGTATGGGCGAGCGGTGCGCACCTGCACGGTTGCGGCGTGCAGCGGTGCGGGCAGATCCGAAGGGTACGGCCGAAGTTGTGACCGCGTGCAGGTCCTCCAGTGGCAAAGCGAGCAAGGAGAGGCTTGGATGGTGTCTGCGTCGCTGGGCTGTGGTATGCGCGTTGCCCTTGAGCTGCGGTTCGCGGCTTCGTTTCGCGCGCTGACCGGATGCACGCGTGCCCGCTCCGTCACGAGCTTGTCGAAACACTCGTGGCAGATGACCGTCTCTGCGCTCGGCAGGCACCACGGGCACGCGCGGTCGGCCGGCTTGTCGCAAATCCAGCACTCGAGTGTGCCACCGGGCACCGACATTTCCCGCGAAGAATTTTACGACAATACTCCCTCGCACAACACTGGGCACGGGACTGGCTCGCACTGGCACTAACACAGGTACACCACGGGAGCCGCCTAAGCGACTCCTGCGAGGGTGGCGAGGCACTTAGCTCCGTGCACCCGCCCACCCCCGCCACAGGCAAGCTCATTCACGACCTGCTCTGCGATGGCCGTGTGAAGAACGACTGAGATGCGCTGCTTCTGCAGCCCCAGCCAGCTCTTGGTGGTCCAAGTCACCTCATCGAGGTACTGGGCCCGCGTCAGCTTGTTCTCCTAGGGCTTGTCTCCTAGGGCTTGTCTCCTAGGGCTTGTCTCCTAGGGCTTGTCTCCTAGGGCTTGTCTCCTAGGGCTTGTCTCCTAGGGCTTGTCTCCTAGGGCTTGTCTCCTAGGGCTTGTCTCCTAGGGCTTGTCTCCTAGGGCTTGTCTCCTAGGGCTTGTCTCCTAGGGCTTGTCTCCTAGGGCTTGTCTCCTAGGGCTTGTCTCCTAGGGCTTGTCTCCTAGGGCTTGTCTCCTAGGGCTTGTCTCCTAGGGCTTGTCTCCTAGGGCTTGTCTCCTAGGGCTTGTCTCCTAGGGCTTGTCTCCGGCACGGTGGGCGACGGCTTCCTCAGAATTTTACATGTACAAACACTGGGCACGGGACATGTGCTAGCGCGCTCCTTGAGCTCATGCGGGCCAAGCTCGAGAGGCCGCTCTCCTACATCGTCAGGATGAGGGATTCGGGCCGCGTTAGGCACGCCCGACTGCTCCAGCTGCAGCTCGTTCGCCTCTGCGCCTGCTCGATCCCAAACCACTGGATGCGCACGATGCCCCCAACCCAGACCGAGGGCGCCGCCGCCTTCGCCGACGAGGCAACCGGCAACGCCGCCGCCCTCATCCTTGTCTTTGGCCGCAGCCCTGACGACAGGGCGGCCCTCGCGCGCACCCGCGCGAAGCAGACAGGCAAGAATGGTGGCATTGGCATGTCCGACTACGCTCGCCGCCGATTCCCCAGCTTCCTCGCCTCCGCCGTCACCTCCCAGAGAGCGTGCGCCAGGGTCTACCCCGCGCTCGGGGAGATGTCCCTCACCCCCCCAAACACCGCCACCGCCACCGCCCTCGTCGCCGCCCACGGCGTCGTCGACTCCGCCCTCGCCGATGTACGCACCCGCCACGCCGCCCTCGACGGACAGGTTCGTCACTGGGTCGACGGCACCACACGCTCCGCCTACCACCCGCACCTCAAGCGCGGCTTTCAGCTTCCGCCCCTCGCCGCCCTGTTGGGTGACGCCGACGGCACATCTTCCTCGTGCCTCTCACAGCACTCGCTGTCGGCTGTCGTCAACAACGACGCGTGGCTGGTCGCCAAGGACGCGTGCGACTCCTTCGATTCCCACAACGCCGGCGCCACCGTGCCGCATCGGGAGGCTACCTCCCTCATCAGCCACTCGCAGGTGGGCTCGGGAGCTTGGCTGCTCCGCCTGCCCGATGCCACAGTGCCTCGCTCCATCATCCCCTCCGACACCTTCCTCTCGGCGTGCCAGCACCGCCTCGGCCTCTACCTTACCGCCCTCGACGACGTGTACAACGCGCTCGAGGAGCGCGGCGTTACCGTCACCCAGCACCAACGCCTCGGCGACCATTGCCTCAATTCCGCCAACGCCACCCATCGCCACAACGCCGCCCTCGCGGCCGTCCACCGTGCGCTCACCAGCGTCACAAGCGACACCCTGCCAGTTGGCTCGATCCAGCTGGCCGACAAGGGCGACGGGACCCCCGCCTCCAAGGCTGAGCGGAAGGGCTACTACGCCCACGTCAACAAGGGACACATCCCGGACCTTTCGCTTTGGCTCCACGACCGAAAAGAACAAGGAAAAGAAATCGCGGCCGGGGGGGGGGGGGGTTGTGACCCCAAAGGGGTGCGTGTGTGTGGCAAACAACTAAGCCCAGCCACCACCAGCCAGCGACGAAACAAAAGAAACGAGGAAAGAATTTAAACAAAACAACTCTCTCTCACAGCAGACAGGCTCGACACAGGTGCGAACTGGCGCGTGCTAGTACTATCACCGGCACACTCAAAAAAATCGCTAAAGAATTTAAACAACACAACTCTCTCTCACAAAAGACATTTGATAACTTTGTTGCCTGGTTTACAACACACACAAACAGAGGTCAAAAGAGAATCCGCAAGGCGAGAACTGACGCGTGACGACTGAGGTTTAAGCTATTCAATATGCACGATGCACGTAAAACACAGTACTATGTAGAAGGGCGCAATAAACATACACGCGCACGTGGCATGCAGGCAGAAACATGGACACATCATCCACGAACACATGCATGGCCGAGCACTACAAGTGGACACAGTACGCACTGCTCGGACGCGAGCGGGGCAGACACCCAGGATCGGGGGCTAGAAGCAAGACTCGTAGACCTTTTCCGCGAGCCGCACCACGCACCCCAGCCGCCACTCCTCCTTGCACGTTGGCGGCGGGGGCGGGGCCGCTTCGGCGAGGATGACCCCGTCGAGAATCGGCTTCGCCGCCTGCCATAGCCGCCGGTACCCGGCTCCGCTCTGGTGTGTGTCGTCGGCCACGTAGTACGACGCGTTGGGCACCGGCCCTCCCTCGCCACCCTCGCTGCTCGCCAGTAGAAACGGCGCCCAGTCGATGAGCCGCATCCCGGCGAGCGAGCGCATCCAGCTATTGAGCCGGCCGCGCACGCCTGAGGTCTCGTTGAAGATGTCGCGCACGTGGCTCTCCTCGAGGCTCGGCTTGAAGCCGCCGACGAACAGCGTGATCCCAGCGGCGCGGCAGTACTCGATCCACGCCTCCAGCGTCACGCGGAAGGAGGCCTCGCCCGTGCCCTGCTCGTCCGACCGCCGGCCGACGTCCGAGAAGGCGGCGAGGAGGAGATAGCGCGGCCTCAGCTCGCCGAGGAGGATGTCGCGGTTGAAGTACATGTCGGTGAGGCTGGCGCCGCCGTAGCAGCGCCGCGTCGTCGGCACGGACACCGACGAGTAGTTGAAGACCTCCTCAAAGGTGACGCCGTCGCCGGCCGCGCCGGTGGCGTAGCGGCAGCTCCCCCCGCCGAGGAAGAGGAGCCCGCCGGTCTGCGGCGGGCCGCCCGAGGCGTCGAAGTCGGCGTTGTCCTTTGCGTACCGCAGCATGCTCTCAAAGAAGCGCCAGCCGGACGAGAGGAACTGCACCGACTCGCCGACGGTCAGGCTGGCCGCCGTCTGGGTGCACTCGTACCCGCTCCGGTCGGGCGGGCAGGGCATGGTCCCGTTGGCCACCTGCAGCGCCACGAGGCCCCTGTCGACGGCGGCAGACTGCAGGATCGGACCGACCCCGTCGCCGGAGAAGCTCGTCTGCTCGGTCGCCCACGGCAGCGCGAGCGCCGGGTCGCAATCTCCGCCGTCAAAGCCGAACGGCTCCGTGTTGAGCCACTGGTCGCATGCGCCGTCGCCTTGCGCCGCGAGGATGAGTGTGGTGCAGTCGACGCCTCCGGCGCCGTACCCGGGCCAGCGGGGGACGAGGCGGTCGGAGAGCATGTAGCAGTCCCCGTCGCTGATCTGGCGCACCTGCGAGGACGGCCGCGTCTCCTGTCGCTAGTCGCTTGGGCTGCGGATAGGGGCCCGCTCTTCCGAGTCACGGTTGCCTACTGCTGCTACTGCTACCTAGCGCACCATGTACGAGAGCGCCTCGTCGCGGGAGATTGACATCTCCACCTCGATCGGGGGCCTGTCTGCGAGCTGGTAGTAGTAGGACAGCTGCGACAACCCCCGCACCGGCGGAGCCTTGAGCAGCGCGGCAGGGTCGTCGCAAAGCGGGGGTCGCGCGCCGCACCTACGGACATGTCACATGTACATGTCCTGGACGTGTCCTCGACTTGGCCGGGTCGTCGCAAGGGAGAGGCCGCATATGCCTCGGATTTGTCTCGGAGGCGTCTCGGAAGTGTCTTTGAGGTGTCTCGGAGGTATTTTGGAGGTGTCTGGAAATATCTCGGAGGCGTCTCGTACAGCAGACCCTCCCCCTTGGAAGTGTCTCGGAGGTGGCTGTCTCGGAACTGTCTCGGAAGTGTCTCGGGTCGCCGCACCGCAGAGCCGCCTCTTCGTCGGGGACACGAAAGCTGCTCGATCCGGTGCAGCGGGTGCCGGTGGGGTGGCTGGAGGAGAGGGCGGGGAACTCGCAGCAGATCGCCTGTCGAAGATGGCCTCGGGTAATCTCGGGTAGTCTCGGGTAATCTCGCAGCAGATCGCCCGTGGTAGCGCGACGCGGGCGCGTCATGGACAGGCGAGGACTGGGAGGCATGCTGCGTCCGCGTCGAGCTGCTAGCAGGATCGGAAGTGTCTCGGAGGTGTCTTGCGTGGCAGCCCACCTCCCCGCCGGCGCAGAGCGTGTCGCAAACAGGGTACCGCGACGACTTGGTCGGGTCCTCGGCGCAGTACCAAGAGTACTCGACTGGCCCGCTCGGCGGCGGCGGCGACGGCGAGGTTGAGGGAGGAGGCAGACGCGGGGCCGACGACGGCGGCGCCGGGGCTGGCGGGCTCGACGGCGGCGGAGGCTGCATCTCGAAGGTCCCCAGCGCGTCCGCGCTCGTCTCGACTCGCCACTGGGCGAGGTCAAAGGCGGCGGTCGGCCTTGTGTTTGAGGCGCGGTACAGGATGGTCCCTGCGGAATACTCCCAAGGCTCGCCGGTGCCATCTGTGTTTGCCACGCCGTAGCGATCGACCACGGACCCGCCCGTCCAGAGCAGCACGTTGTCGTCGCCATTGAAGGAGATCCAGCTGCCTGCAGAGGCGTAGGTCGCGTTCCGCCCGTATTCGCTGCGAAACTGGTCATTCGTGCCGCGGGCGACCCAAATGTGTTGCCCTGCCGCAGCGCTCTCGGCCGGGAGGGTATAGTCGATTTCATCAGCGCGGCCGTTACTCGCAACGCCGAGGCTGTAGGCGGACAGGTCCGGGATTGCCGCACTCGCAAAGAGCTCGATCGACTTTCCCTCGTTCCCGCCGAAGTAGAGGACACCGGTGAGAGTGAGCGACGGCGGTGACTGAGCGCTCGAGGCTGGCGGAGATGGTAACGGAGGAGAGGACGGCGGAGGCGGCGTGGGAGTCGTCGGAGACAGCATGAAACTCCACACTTTCGGAGCGCGGCGTCAAAGACCGACGAACTTCAGCTGGTTTTTGCGGCCACACCTCGTGAACAGGACGGCTTCTCACATTTTCCGTTTTTCTTGGGGGATGCAGACGACGGGCTCGAGTCCTAGCCGTGAGTGGAGTGCGTTTACACTCAAGGTGCGAAAAGAATGGGACGTTCATTCAAGACAAACAACCAAAAAGAGAAGAGGTTTTGCGCATCACGATCGAAGATGTATGAAGTATGTATTTGTTCGACGACAATGTTCCACGAAAAGTGTATCGCGCGCCTTGCGGGGGGGGCGCGGAAAAGAGGAACCTCTTAGCGCCATCGCCACGGTGCTGCATGCAGCGCCGGGCGACGACGGCTTACCGCCTCCCGGCCCCCCTCGGCACACCTCCGCTGCTCAATGTTTGACGGCTCGAACCCGTGAAGCTTCCCCGTGCGCGGGTTACCCCGCACACGGGTCAGCCTGCCAGCCACGTATCCACGCAAGCGTGGTCCGCGTGCATGGCATACAGGCGTCCGCCAGACAGCGCAGAGGCTAGGCGACCGGGGAAGGACTAGCTCAAGGGCAACACAGCGTCACCAGCCGTTGGCGCGCAGAACGAGTCTGCGGCCCCCGGTTGGGACGAGTGCGCGACGCGGACGAACCGCTCAATGTGGCCGGCAGCTCGCGCTGCCGGCGGGGTTGGTTGGGGAGAACCGGCACGGGGATGGCCGGCCTCCCCGGAGGGGTCGCCCCCTGGAGGGGCCCCAAAGGGCCCCCCGGGGGGGCGGGGGCCCCCGCCCCGAGGGGCGGGGGCGGAAAAAATAAAAGCCACGCAGGCGCTCCGGCGAATAGCTCTAGCATGGCCCACCGCATCGGCGCGCGCGTCGCGGGCCTCTCGCCAGCGCAGCTGTGCGCCATCATCGAGGCGCAGGCGGGCGCGAGCGCCGCCGCGCTGCGCGTGGCGGAGGAGCACGCCGCACGGCTCGTGCAGCAGCCCGAGTGGGTGCTCTCCGAGGTCCTCCTCTCGCCGGACCTCGCCCCGCACATCCTCGCCCAGCTGCCGACCGAGGCGCACGCCGTCAAGGGGACGTGCCGCGCGTGGCGCCACGGCTGGAAGGAGACGCTGAAGAAGCGCGAGAGGCCGCGCCTGGTCGCGTTTGGCGGCTACGGCAGCGATGGCGAGCGCCTCACCTCGCTGGAGCGGTACAACCCGTCAACCAATGAGTGGGAGGAGGAGGCTGTGGCGCCGATGCCGACGGCACGAAGGTCTGTCGGCATGGCGGTGCTCGGTGGCAAGCTCTACGCGGCGGGCGGCCGTGAGGCCGGCGAAGCAACTTCCAACCTGGTGGAGCGGTACGACCTGACTACGAATACATGGGAGGCGGTGGCGCCGATGGCAGAGGCGCGGCATGCTCACGGCATGGCGGTGCTCGACGGCAAGCTTTATGCGTTGGGCGGGCGGGGCGCCCTCAGCTCGGTTGAGCGGTACGACCCTGCGACGCACGCGTGGGAGGCGGTGGCGCCGATGGGGGAGGAGCGGTGCGGTGTCGCCGTGGCGGTGCTCGACGGTAAGCTGTACGCCTTGGGCGGGTACAACGCCGGCTACCTCAGCTCGGTCGAGCGGTACGATCCGGCGCTGGATGCGTGGGAGGCTGTGGCGCCGATGGCGTCGGCGCGAGACGAGTTCGCCGTAGCGGTGCTCGACGGCAAGCTGTATGCCGTTAGCGGGTACAACATTGACGACGGCTACCTCAGCTCGGTGGAGCGGTACGACCCGACGACGAACGCGTGGGAGGCGGTGGCGCCGATGTCGACGGCTCGAGACGAGTTCGCGTCGGCGGTGCTCGACGGCAAGCTGTATGCTGTGGGCGGTGACTCCGATGACGGCTTCCTCAGCTCAGTCGAGCGGTACGATCCGGCGCTGAATGCGTGGGAGACGGTGGCGCCAATGAGGACGGTGCGGATCGGCAGCATTGCCCTGGTGTAAGTCGGTTCAGCACACAGGCGCGCGGGCGGGGGGTCGCTGAGTGTAGGGCTGGGGGTGAGTGACTGAGGCGCGCGCGCGCGGTGCGAGCGCTCTGCTGGTGCTGCTGGAGCGTGGAGGCTCCGGCTCAGGTCGTGGGGCATAGCTCGGGTGTAAACAGGGTCTGGGGCGGAGGCCCCAGCGGCCCGCCGCAGGCGCCGCCGGAGGCTGGCCCGCCGCAGGCGCCGATTTTTTTGGCGTTTTTTGCTCAGAATTGAGATATTTCTCATCAAATTCTCATCAAAATCGAGCTCGCTACGAGCTCTCTAACTGCACAGCATCTCCTCGTTGAGCCTAGCGGCGCCCGTATCGCCCACGCCCACATTCTTCTTCTTCTTGCCCTTCTTGCCCTTGGCCCTTGCTGCACTTAGCCGCTCAACCTCCGCCAGCAGCAGCTCCTTGGCATGCCGCGCTGCCTCCATCTGCTTTGCTTCCCACGCTGCCGCTTCCTCTAAAGCAGCGCCGCCACTAAGCGGCGCAACCAAGTTCTCGCATTGTTTGCATGAGCACGTGTCCTGCTTGGCGCGGCGCACAATCCGCGTGTGGCGAGTGAGGTGCGTGAGAGCAGAAGACTGACAGCAGGAGCTGCAGGAGCTGCGCAGGTCGGATGGGCGGTGACGCCGTCGAGCGACGGCGCAAAGGCCAATCGCTGCTGCTGCGCCAACGAGAGCGGCGACACGAGGCTGCTGGCAGCTGGCAGAGCGAATCGCGATTCCGGCGGCCGCCGTCAGCCCGCCGACACCGACGGCCTGGCTGAGGTCAAACTCCTCCACACGTCGGACCACGCGTCGGCCACGGCGACGATACGTCTGTATGCAGACAGCCCGACACCCGGGCGATAGAACATGCCAGCTGGGCTCTACCAGGGCTCTCGTGGCCCGTGGCGCGTGCCCGGGTGGAACAGCGCGGGCTGCGGCGGGCGCATAACTATTCACAGCTAATGAAAACTATAAAAACTCGCGGCTTCATCAAAGTTTGAGGTGGCTTCGTCCTCAGCACCATCAAGACAGCTCTATTCACACCCTTTTTGGTTTGAAGCCACTCGGGGATGCTTGTTTACACCCAACCGACGAGTGGCTGGGCCCTCTGACCTGAGCTGGAGCCGCCGGAGGCATACGGTACTCTGTCAAGGGCTGAGGGCGGGCGCGGATGCGCGCGCGTTGATGCGCTTTGGTGACTGTTCTCCCTTTTACGGGCGGCAAATTGACAGGCCTTTTACGTACAATGCCACCACCACCCGGCCTGTGAGCGCACAGCTCTCGACCGCGCGCGACCGACTGTGGACGTGTGCGGGTCGCCGCGCGAGGCGAGCGGCGCCGGACTCAACAGGCTGTACTGGGTCTGAGGTACTCTGCGAGCGAATCACCACGCCGGCTGCCCGTCGCCGCGCTTGGGCCCCGTCCCCGGGATGTAGGGCCGCGCCGTCGTCGCGCCCGCCGCCCGCTCGTCCCACAGCAGACGCGATGAAGAGCTTAAGCTGGTGACGTCGCCGCGCGCCGCGTCCATGCAGGCACGGACAAAGGTGGCCTCGACGAGCTCGGCGACCTTTGACAGGGTGAGCGGAGCCGGAGGCGGAGTGCCCTCTGCTGCCATCGCCAACCGGACAGAGGGAGTGCGGAATAGCGCGGGTGAGGCGAGGCGAGTGACCGCGTCGCAGCGAGACCAGCAGCCCGAGAGCGGGGAGGAGAGGGCCGCCGAGAGGGCCGCCGCCAAATAAAGAATTCGCGGGAGGTGCTTTTCCTCTCCCTTGGGTTTTAGGTGTATTGTCCCTTGGGTGGTTCTGTGTGTCGCTCCTGTGTGACCGTCATCGCCCGTCTTGCGTCCACCCATACCGCGTTGGTGTCCCAGTCGTTGGAGAGAGAGAGATTTTTATTCGGCTGAGGGCTGACAAGCTGCCGAGCCCAAATCACTGTGAGAGTCGTGATTTCTTGTAGTTGGTCGGACTGTGTTTTTTTGTCTCTCTCTCACTGTGTTTCGCCTTCCCATCAATCAATCAATCCTTGGGTTGTCAAGAGGCGCGCGAGGCAAGGAGGAGAATCGGGGAACTGAGAGACTGGGACGACTGGAAACAAGAAGACAGTGAGCCACCACAGGCGTCGTTGGCGCACATACTGAGCGGCAGCTGCGCTGGAAATAAGGAAGAGGCGCGCCTCTTTATGCGGAAGCTTGACAAACACACAGCGAGGGCGACAGCAAAGGTCGAACGGGAGGCGCCGGACTCAAAAGACACCGCCACATTCCTCATTCCTGACTGCATCAACCATCGCCACAGCTGAGATGCCCCCAACACCCTTAGCATGTCCTGGCACCTGACAGATGATAACCAAACCTCTGACCGTCTTCCACAATTCCCACCTCAAGTTGTTGATTGTCTCTCTCTCTCTCTCTCTCTCTCTCTCCCCTGTCCCCGCCCTCAACGCAATTTTTCTCACGGCCAAATGATGCAGGCGATTTGCGAGAGCGAGAGCACCGCCGGCGAGCCGACGCCAGCTGCGCCCGCCGCGGAGCCTCCGCCCGCCGCAGCGCACGGCAGTATGCAAGAGCAGAGCGGCGACGGCGACACCGAACCGGCGGCGCCCGTGGTTGGCGCGCTCGAGGATTTCCAGCGCCTCCGCGTTCTCCTCGTCGAGGACGAGGACTTTTCGGCGCGTGTGATGCAGGTCTTTTGCGCAAAGTGCGACTACACGGTGCAGACGGTGCGCTCGTCCGAGGAGGCGCTCGAGCAGCTCGCCGCCGACAAGGAGCGGCCGGCCGCCGAGCGGTTCAACCTCATCCTCCTCGACATCGTGATGAAGGGGATGTCGGGCAAGGAGCTGCTGCGGCGGCTGCACGAGCTGCAGGGGCCGGACGACCAGGTGTGCGTCGTGATGGTCTCCTCCCACTCCCAGCGCGAGATGGTCGAAGAGTGCCTTCGGTCGGGCGCAGAGTCGTACCTCGTCAAGCCGGTCCGGACCGAGGACCTAGAAGCGGAACACCTCCCCATATCTCCGCATATCTCCCCATGTCTCCCCATCTCGCCCTAGAAGACGTGCTCCTGTATCCCGACCCGCGCTCCCGAAGACACGTCTGCGGCTGTATTCGGCCGTATTCAGCGGCGTTCCGCTGTATTCGTACCCCTCGTCTCCACGCGATGCTCTGAACACGCTGCGCGATACCGTCCTCCCGCCCCGAGGTCGGCGCAATTATCACGTAGGCTCGAGGACGTCGCGCGGCTGTGGCAGGTCTCTCTCGAGGTCTCGAGGTGGGGTATCCTGGTCCCGCCATAACGGGAGGACACGTGCTCTGTGGCAGGTTGTGATGCGGCACCACCTCTCCGCCCTCTCGCGGCGCCAGGCGCGGCAGCGGGCGGAGATGGCGCGGCTGCGCGCCGAGACGCTGGCGGAGCGGGAGCGGGTGCGGCGGGAGAGGCTCGAGCTGGAGCAACAGGCGCGAGAGATGGCCGAGATGCAGTCGAGATGCAGTCGAGATGCAGTCGAGATACAGTCGAGATGCAGTCGAGATGCAGTCGAGATGCAGTCGAGATGCAGTCGAGATGCAGTCGAGATGGGCGGGAGGAGAGGCTCGAGCTCGTGCAACAGTCTGCTGCTCGACCGGCGGCGGATTGCAATCTCGGATCGGGTCGGGCAGTGCTCGGGCGGCGCCCGGATAGTCTGCTGCCTGCCGGGCATCGCCGGCTTGTTGCGAGCGGTTGAACGATGAGCAATATACATTGCCTGTTCAATGCCGGGAAGGAGCGGTTGAATGAGAGCGGTATTGCCTGTTCAATGCAGGGGGGAGGCGGTTGCATGATGAGCAGTATCATGATGAGCAGTATACGGGCTGCGTGCTCAGGTGCTGCTCGACCGGCAGCGCGAGCGGATGCAGCAGCAGATGATGCGGATGCTGCACTCGCAGATGCGACAGTACTGGCAGCTCGCGCAGACGGGCAACGGCGTCTCATGATCAACTAGCACTGAATCAGGGACTCATTACTGGCAGGCAGCTCGCGCAGACATGCAACGACCTCATCCTCCACGCCTCGCGCCAGGCGTGCAATGCAGAGTAGTCTTGCCGGCTAGCTGCTGCTACTAGAGAGGCGTGCAATGCAGAGTAGTCTTGCTGGCTAGCTGCTGCTACTAGAGAGGCGTGCAATGCAGAGTAGTCTTGCCGGCTAGCTGCTGCTACTAGAGAGGCGTGCAATGCAGAGTAGTCTTGCCGGCTAGCTGCTGCTACTAGAGAGGCGTGCAATGCAGAGTAGTCTTGCTGGCTAGCTGCTGCTACTAGAGAGGCGTGCAATGCAGAGTAGTCTTGCCGGCTAGCTGCTGCTACTAGAGAGGCGTGCAATGCAGAGTAGTCTTGCCGGCTAGCTGCTGCTACTAGAGAGGCGTGCAATGCAGAGTAGTCTTGCTGGCTAGCTGCTGCTACTAGAGAGGCGTGCAATGCAGAGTAGTCTTGCTGGCTAGCTGCTGCTACTAGAGAGGCGTGCAATGCAGAGTAGTCTTGCCGGCTAGCTGCTGCTACTAGAGAGGCGTGCAATGCAGAGTAGTCTTGCTGGCTAGCTGCTGCTACTAGAGAGGCGTGCAATGCAGAGTAGTCTTGCCGGCTAGCTGCTGCTACTAGAGAGGCGTGCAATGCAGAGTAGTCTTGCTGGCTAGCTGCTGCTACTAGAGAGGCGTGCAATGCAGAGTAGTCTTGCCGGCTAGCTGCTGCTACTAGAGCTCCCACGAGTGAGACCACTCTCCCCTCGCGCCGCGCCAGGGCGTGTTCCTCTGCATGTCGCGAGATTACCCGAGACTTCCCGAGATTACCCGAGATCACCCGAGCAGGGCGTGTTCCTCTACATGTCGCACAAGTGCAAGCGGCTGCTCGGCTACGCGCCGACCGAGCTCTCCTCCTCGCGCGCTATGATCGGCACCATCCGAGATGAGCCGAGATGGGCCGAGATGGGCCGAGATGAGCCGAGGTGAGCCGAGAGAGGGGAGGTTGGTGTGAGCAGGCACCATCCACCCGGACGACTTGGCCGAGCTGCGTGCGCTGGTGGCGCGCGCAGAGGCGAGGGAGGAGGAGACGAGGGCGGCGGAGGGCGAGAAGCTGACACTGCGGGTGCGAGACAAGTCGAATGGGTACGTGCCGCTGCGGCTGCCGATGTACCCCGTCGCCGAGCCGGGCGAGGTCCGGTCTGTGATTGGCGCGCTGCCGCGGCTGCACACGATCTCCAGCCCGAGATCGGGGGCGGGCCGGGCGGAGCTGGTGGCGGCGCCGGGCTGTGAACGGCGCCTCTTCACGGCCCCATGCTGTGAGCAGGTTGGCGGGCTGACTGATGAGGAGCCGGGGGGCGTGAGCGAGGCGGAGAGGGAGGGCAGGCTTTGCGCGCCGGCGCCGGCGGAGGAGAGCCAGCTCTCGGAGACAGTCTGCTGTCGTTCTATTCGTTGTCAGCTGGCGTTGATTACCCACAGGAGGACCAGCAGCAGCGGCTCGTCTCGTCCTCTCGCCGGTCCGTCTCCTTGCCGCGGCTGCTGACCGTCCATTCGATTTCGTTCACGTTCACCGTCCTCACCGCAAACGACGAAGGTCCGTCTCGCTGTCGCGGCTGCTCGCCGAGGCTTTCTCGACAATCTCAGAGGCGGGAGGTGTAGCCGAGAGGCGGCCGAGAGGCGGCCGAGAGGCGGCCGAGAGGCGGCCGAGAGAGCCTTTCCGACCGCCTCAGAGGTGCGGAGCGGCGGGGTGTGGACGGCGTCTCTTCACACCGCCTCCCGCCGTGAACAGGCGGAGGAGACTCGGGCGGATCGCGAGGGGAGGAGCGGCGAGGGGGCGGAGCAGGGCGTGGTGGCGGCGCAGCTGCCGAGCATTCTCTTTGAGCGCGCGCAGCGGTCGCAGGCCGGAGGAGCGGACGAGACGGAGACAGCAGTACTTGACTCAGACGAGAGGAGTGATGAATTGGTTCGCAGGCCGGAGGAGCAGACGAGACGGAGAAGGCGGAGGCGGAGGCGGGGGCGACGGAGTGCGCAGTCGAGGCGCCTGCGCCGCACCAGAAGCGCGCTGAGTCTGGCCATCTCGAGGCGGGGAGGGAGGCGGGGCGGGAGGCGGAGGAGGAGTCGGAGGCGGATCGAGCCGCGTCTGGCGGAGGGATGAAGGACGGCAGGGCGGCGGGCGGTGGGAGGGGGCGGGGGCGGGGGCAAGGCGTGCAGCTCCCCTTCAGCCCTCCGCAGCAGCTGCCGCAGCGCGACGCTCGGCGGCTAGAGGCGGAGTGGCACGACTTGCTCAATCAGTTCGAGGCGCGGAGATATGGGGAGATATGGGGAGATATGGGGAGATCGCACCTCAACCAGTTCGAGGCGCCCGCCGCGCAGTGCTTCGATTCGTCGGCCGCCTTTCTTTTTCACGGCGCTGTACACTTCCCAGGCGCCCGCCGCACAGTTCGTCGACTTCCAGACAGTCGTCGACGGCGACGCGCAGCCGCGGGCGGGTCGGCGGGCTGCGACCGGCGTCTCTTCACGGCGGTGCGGGTGTGAACAGGCGACGCGCAGCCATGGGCGGGCGAGGGGGGCGAGGAGAGCGCCGCGAGCGATTCGCCCTCGGGAGAGGCGCCCACACTTGCGCCGACTTCGGCGACGGCAGTGGGGGCGGCGGGGAGGGCGGCGGAGCGGAGGCGGAGCCGCGAGCTGACTCAGGCGGCGCTGCAGGCGCGGGAGGGGGAGGCGGCGAGCGCACGACTGGCGGAGGCGACGCTTGCGGAGGGTCGCAAGGTCAAGGAGGCGAGGGAGAAGGGCGCGGCGTCCGCCCCCTTTGATTGGTGAGCGACAATGGTTGGCCACCGGTGACTAGGCGAGGGAGAAGGGCGCGACGTCTGCGCTCGCCACGCTCGCGGCGCCCGTCGAAGAGGGCTCTCGCTGTGACGAGGCGCCGTTCACAGCTCGGTGCGTGTGTGTGGACAGGCGCCCATTGAGAAGGCGGGAGGGCTCGGCGTCTGCCGCAGCGGCGGCGAGGGCGAGACGCTTGCCGTCGGTGTCCATGACATGTCCGTGACATGTCCGCGACATGTCCGTGACATGTCCCGCAGGCGAGACGTCTTCAGTCGGCCGGCTGAGGCTGGAGCTGCTGCAGCGCTACTTCGTCAGGAGCCGCGAGGAGGGCCAGTTCTCCCCGCTCGGCGAGGGTTTAGCCGAGACACACCCGAGGCGTAGCCGAGGTGGTGGCCGAGGACCAGCTCGCCTCCGCTGGCGCCGCCGCGTGACACGGCGTTGACGCCGTCCTCTCTTCCGTTGCCGTCGATGAGTCACCGAGTCCGCCACCAGGCGCCGCCGCGTACCGCGTGCCTGTCGACGTGGCGTCTGCCGTTGTGGCGCTGCGCTCGCCGGGCGCAAAGGTGGGCGGCCTATCAGTGCTTATTCAACGATGCCGATTGCATTGCATCCGATCAACACGTGGCAGCTGCACTAACACGCCAGCACTGCTTGCGGTGACGATGCACTACGGTCGCACATCTCTTCGGCGGATGCATACACACTGGTTGGCAACTCGGGTGCATCTCGGCGGATGCACACATTGGTTGATTCTCAAGGTGGACGACGGCTCGGCGTGTGGCTGGCCTCCGCTCCACCTGGCGCTGCTGCGGGGCGAGTCACACCTGCAGGTGGTGCAGCTGCTGCCCAGCCGTCGTGTCAAGAGGCGCTCTTCACACGGCACGGCTCAGTGAGCAGGTGGTGCAGCTGCTGCTCGCCTCTGGTTGCAACGCGACCGACCCGCCCGCGCGGCTCGAATACGCCACTCCGCTGATGCTTTGCGCCGAGGGTCAGCTGGGCCAGGCGGCAGAGCTGCTGCTGCTCTGTTTGCCCCCGAGCCAGCTCGAGGCTGCTACAAACGTCCGCTCGCAGGCCGCCGGCACTCATGAGCCATTCATCAATTCATCAGTCGATAGTCCGCTCAGATCGGCCTCACCCATGAGTGCGATTGGTCGGTCAGTCACCGATGAGTGCGTGTGCCGCCTCTTGATGCCAGCTTTCCCCCGAGCTCTCTTCACACCCCTCGGCCACTTGCACGAGGGTGTTTTCCTCGTCTCGGTCTCCCTAGTGACGACTCATTCCCCAGCCACTCGTGAGCAGTGCCTGCCCGTTGGCGTCGTAGGAGGGCGTCCCCCTCGTCTCGGTCTGCGCGCAGTGGGCATCCGACGAGGCAGCGGCCAAGGTCTGCCGCAGGCTCGTCGAGTGCCGCGCCTTCTGAGACATTCCAGAGACACTTCCGAGACATTTCCGAAGGTCTGCCGCAGGCTCGTCGAGTGCCGCGCCGACCCGAGCTGCCGCTCGCGCGCGGGGCTCTCGCCGCAGGCCTCTCCGAGACACTTTCCGAGTCACTTCCGAGACACTTTCCGAGACACTTCCGAGCCACTCCCGCCCTACCGGACCTTTCCCGGACCTTTCCTGAAACCTCTCCTGAAACCTCTCCTGGACGGCTCGCTTGGACGGCTCGCCGCAGGTCATGGCGGCGCGCTCGGGCAACGCGGCGACGGCGGCGGCGATCGCGCAGCTGGCGGCGAAGGCGACGCCTCTCCCCTTTGGTCCAGCCCAGACCTCCTCTCCTCGTAGGCGCTCGCGCAGCTGACCGAGAAGCTCACCGACGGCGCGCGGGAGGGGCTCGACGCGGCGGCCGCTGGCACGCCTCCAGTGCAGCGGTGCGGGGTGGAGAGAGAGAGAGCCTTCCCTGACCCTTCTTTGGAACGATCCCCCGTGCAGGCCAGCCGCCGGTGGTTCGAAGAGCGACCCGTCGAGGCCGCGGCGGGAAGAACAAGAGCTGAGCACGCACGCCGGGGCGGAGTGGCAGTCTTTGTGGCGTTTCGGCGTGGTCTTGCCAGCCTGGTGAGGGGCGGGGTGCCGAGGCATCGTCTCACCATGCGTGAGGTCTGACGCTCTTCCTCCAGATCTGAGACGGGGCCGGGTGAGAGAGAGAGAGAGAGAGGGAGCCGAGCGAGCGGTATGATGACGTTCTCACACGGCTCTGACACTAGAGAGCTTCCCTCTACGTAGCTGTGGTGCTCGTGACTTTGCTCGTGCTGTTGACGTTGAGAGAGCTCCGGCGGCCCGCGCGCATGCGGCGTGCTGCAACATCTTGCCGTTTAGTCATCGTGTATTTTTTTGACATTGTTTCAAAGCGGGCTCGCGGTGGAGCGCGTACGGCGTAGCACAAGCACAACACACCGACATACGTTGCCGATGCCTAAATATCAAGCGACTATATCTCCCTCTCTCACACCCACCACTGACAGCACACCAGTAGGCCGCAACACACGCACTTACTGGGAGGGCGGCCGCCCGGCGAAGGGCTCGCCGAGCTCGCTCGCCGCGCGCGCGCAAGCGCCGATCAGGTTCGCCAGCTCCGTCGCCTTTGCAGGCTCGGCTGCCCGCGACAGCTCGTCCGTCGCCCAGACGATCTTTGCGTGCAGCGCGACGGCGGCGCCGCTGCTGGTGTGGGCGCGGGCCGGCATCGGGGAGGCGGCCGCGAGCGGAACGGGACCGCCGCCCGGCGCCTGCGCCGCGTCCCGCATCCCCGCCGCCAGCGCGGCCAGCGCTGCAGACTGCAGGTCAGCAGACTTTCCGGGCGGCGCGTGCGGGCTCTGATGGCTGCTCGCGGCCTGCGCGAGGCCGGGCAGATCTCGCTGCGAGGGAGGATCCTCGCCAGGCGCGGTTCCAAACAGCTCCGCCATTTCGGCGTTGATCTCGTGGATCGCAGAGTCCAGCTCGGGCCCTTCGGGCGGCTTTGCGAAGGCGTGTTGTGCGCGGACGCGCGGCGTCGGGCACGAGGCAGAGGCGGCGAGGAGAGGCAGTCCGCGATCCGCTCGGTGGAGCAAGGTTGAAGAATGGCGTCGGAGCAGCGCTGCCGCGCTGCTGCGGAGTAGCGGCGAGCCGACGCCGCGCCGCATCGTTGTTAAACCAGACCGTTTTGAGTAACCGGACAAGCCGCCGGTGGCATCTCTTTCCACCCAAGAAGCCCGTTTGGAGGGATGGGCGGCAGTGTGCGGGCGGTGAAGTGCTAGTCCTCTCATCAATTTAGAACGAAACGCCCCTCCCTCCCTTCTTCCCTCTATCCCTTTTGCTCTCTAACCTAGACACAGACAGACTGTTCACCAACCAATCCTCTACCCCTCCCTCTCTCCCCATCCTAGACTCCCTCCACGCGTCCGATCTGGCCAGCCTGCGGCAAACATACTCGCGCGGGAGCATTTCACTCTAGCTGAGGGGCTCGCTAAACGCCCGCCGAGCTCCATGCTGTGCAACACCTCCTCACTAATCGTCAGGCGGGCGCGGAGAGCGCAGTGCACTGCGGTGAGGCTGCGCAGCGGGGGCTCGCCCCCTGCACCGCGCTCAGCGGCGCAGGCGGGAGGGCGGTCGGTGGCGGCGGCGGCGAGGCGCGAGGCGGTGGCGGCGGTGGTGGTGCGGGCGGCGGGATGACAGGGGAGGCGGCGGGATTGACAGGGGAGGCGGCGGCCACGAGCGGAGCGGCGCGAGAAGGGGGGGGGGCGGCGGCGAGGCGCCGGTGAGCGAGGCGCCCGCGCCATATCAGAGAGGGACGCGCCGCTGCGAGATGGAGGGCGGCGGTGACGGAGGCGAGGCGCGAGGCGGCGGCGGCGGCGGCGGCGGCGGCGGCGGCGGCGGCGGCGGCGGCGGCGAGAACGGCGGCACCGAGTCTCGGTGAGCGGCGGCGGGAGGAGGAGCAGCGGCGGCGCTCGCTCGCTGTTGGCGGGAGCGCTTTTGAGCCTGGGAGCCCATGCCACTGCGACCGGCGTGCCCGGGAACGGAGATCGCGCGCGCGCCGCCACTCACGACGCGCGCGCGATCTTCGCGGAGTCGGGTCCCCAGAGGGAAGCGGTCTTCTCGGCCGACGTCCAGCGGCGCGCAAGGAAGCAGGCGCAGCGGAGGCGGCCTAGCACCGGCTCGGCGCCGGGCGGTTGCGCTGCCCGCGAGCCGCGTCCTGAGCCTCGGCAGCGCGCTGCGCGGCGCGGCGCTCGCGCTGCTGCGGTGCCGAGAGCGGCATGATTCGCCAGCTGAAGCTCGAGACTCCTCGGGTCCGCGAGTTCTGGGGGTCACGATTTGCGCAGGTTGAGCGGAAATTGGCGTAAGCGTCTGAAAGCAGTCTTGGGTGGTAAAATAAAAAAAAGAGCGGCACAAAATCCAGATGGTTAGCGCAGCGCCTCGGAAAACACCATTTTGGCTGTCCCGTGCCCCCGAGTTCATTTAATAAATTGGCTCGCCAACAAGCCCTCCGCGCCCCCACACCGTTACGATGGAAGTTTTTTTTCTTTTTCGGGCATCTTTGTGTGTCTACCCTTATAAGTCTCTCGTGTCGGCGCCGTCGCTCTTTTAACCGTAGAACGTCCCAGCTGAACACCGCCCGCCGACGATCGATCAGTCCACAATCGTCGGCCCGCAGCGACCCGGCACCCCGCAGCGACCCGCAGCGATGGATGCCGCCCCCCACGGCCCCTACGGCCGACGCGCCGATGCACGACCGGCCTCCGTCGGACGGCTCTCCGGCCTCTCCGGCCGCTGACGAGGCCGCCCATGCTGCTGCCGATCCGGTCCCTCTCACGCTCAGCGATATCCGCACAAGCTACGACAACTTCGAGGTCGCCGGCTTTGGCCAGGATGCAGCTCGATCAAAACGGCGACGCCAACAGCTGGTCCCTGGGCGAGTTCCTCGCCCAGGATGAGGTGCGAGTCATGATGCTCGACCCAGCGTGCACCAAGTCGCTCACATTCCGTGAGTTCGTCAACGGGCGATTGCGATCTCGAACTCCGACAACTGGACTGGTGCACCAGCCGCGGAGGACGATGGCTCCCTCGACGACATCCCTTCATCGACGGACGCCTTCACCGCCGCCGGCCCTGGGCCATCCATCGCGGCCTCCGACTGGCTGCCGCAGCTCACACCCTAATCTATCTGCCTTAGGCACGGAGCCAACGGAGCCATCGCGCACGCCCGCAGCATCGCGTGCGGCTCCGAGGTCTCCCGCCGAGACCGGCTCGGCGCGGGTTTGACTGACGTGACTGACTGATGAGTGCTTGCGAGAGAGAGAGATTTTTAGCAATGCTTGCGACATGGATGATCTCCGACACCCAAAACCAAAATGCAAATGCGGAGTGGAGCCCACACTTCGCGTGCAGATCCTGCGTCTCTCACTGCCCGAACAACAGAGGCAGGTACCGCCGCAGGTCCCACACTAGTGTACCTATATGGCCTCCCACCGCATCGGCGCGCGCGTCGCGGGCCTCTCGCCGGCGCAGCTGTGCGCCATCATCGAGGCGCAGGCGGGCGCGAGCGACGCCGCGCTGCGCGTGGCGGAGGAGCACGCCGCTCGGCTCGTGGAGCAGCCCGAGTGGGTGCTCTCCGAGGTCCTCCTCTCGCCGGACCTCGCCCCGCACATCCTCGCCCAGCTGCCGACCAAGGATCACGCCGCCAAGGGGACGTGCCGCGCGTGGCGCCGCGGCTGGAAGGAGACGCTGAAGAAGCGCGAGAGGCCGCGCATGGTCGTGATCGGCGGCCACGGCAGCGACTACGAGTTTGTCAACTCGCTGGAGCGGTACGACCCGTCAACGAATGAGTGGGAGGGGGAGGCTGTCGCGCCGATGCCGTCGGCACGAAGGCATATCGGCACGGCGGTGCTCGATGGCAAGCTCTATGCGGCGGGCGGCAGGGAGGGCGGCGCACCTTCGAACCTGGTGGAGCGGTACGATTTGGCTACGAACGCGTGGGAGGAGGCGGCGCCGATGGTGGTCGAGCGGTTTGCTCACGCCGTGGCGGTGCTGGACGGCAATCTGTACGCGGTGGGAGGCTGCAACGACGACGACGGCCACCTCAGCTCGGTGGAGCGGTACGACCCGGCTGCCAACGCGTGGGTGGCGGTGGCGCCGATGGCGGCGGCGCGGTGCGTTGTCGCCGTGGCGGTGCTCGACGGTAAGCTGTACGCCTTGGGCGGGTACAACGACGGCCGCCTCAGCTCGGTCGAGCGGTACGATCCGGCGCTGGATGCGTGGGAGGCTGTGGTGCCGATGGCGTCGGCTCGAGACGAGTTCGCCGTAGCGGTGCTCGACGGCAAGCTGTATGCCGTTGGCGGGTACAACATTGACGACGGCTACCTCAGCTCGGTGGAGCGGTACGATCCGGCGACGAACGCGTGGGAGGCGGTGGCGCCGATGGCAGCGGCGCGGCGGGCTCACGCCGTGGCGGTGCTCGACGGCAAGCTGTATGCTGTTGGAGGGTCTGCCGGCGGCGGATGGAACAACGTCCCCAGCTCGGTGGAGCGGTACGACTTGGGTACGAATGCGTGGGAGGCAGTGGCTCCGATGGTGACGGCGCGACGCGATTCTATCGCAGTCTGGATGTAGTGGAGTGGGCTTAGCCTTAGGCGCGGGTGCGGCGGCGGGCGGGTATCGCTTCTCCCAGCGCGAGGACGGCGGGGTCTCTGTCAGATCTTTTTCCACTGTGCTCATTGAATACGCACAGAGCACAAGCTCGCGCGAGCCATGCACGTGTTTATTATCGTGATCAACTAATCCTGTTGCGGCCCTTACTCACACGGCACTTCAGCCAAAACGCTGCTAAGACATCGCAGCAAAGCAACGACGCCCTAGAGGCACTCTCTTGCCCCCAGAGCCCCAACCGTTTCTTCCTTCCCCTTGCCCCTTCCCCGACCGCCCCCCTGCAGCTCCTTAGCGAGCGAGGGCGCGGCTCCCCGCAGCCGACACGCGAGCTCGCCCCTCTTGGCTATCTTCGCTCGAGGGACGATGCGCCACGGAGGCGATCTCCACGAGCGCATTGAGCACACCTCGCGCAACATGCGCCCACGGATAGAGACCAGCACGTAGCAGCGTCCACGCCACAGCCCTCGCCTTGCGCAAGCGTCACAGCAGCGACGGCGAGGCCGCGGGCGCCGCCACCGCCGCGTTCATGTCGATGAACGGCGGCTCCTCGCTCGGCGCCTAATCAGTCACCCTCTCGGCTGTCCCTCGGCGAATCGATGCACCAAGAGGGAGGGCCGTCGCCCGCGCCGGCCGCAGCGCGGGCGCATCAAAGTACGACGCCGCCGGCTGCTCCGCGCCAGCTGCCGGCGCGGCGGGCGGCGGCTGCTGCTGCAGAGGCGGCGGCGGCGGCTGCTGCAGAGACGGCGGCGGCGGCTGCTGCTGCAGAGGCGGCGGCGGCGGCGGCTGCTGCTGCTGCTGGGGCGGCGGCTCAACCTCTTGTGGCGGTGATGTCTGCGGCGGCGGCTGGTACTGCGGCTGCGGCGGCGGCGGCTCAGCCGGCTGGTGGTACTGCTGCTGCTGCTGGTACTGCTGCTGCTGCTGGGGCGGCGGCGCGGGGGGCGGCTGGTACTGGGGCTGCGGCTGCGTGGGGGGGGGCGCTTGCGAGTGCTGCGGCTGCGGCGGAGGGGGCGCTTGCGGCTGCGGCTGCGGCTGCGGCTGCGGCTGCAGCTGCGGCTGCGGCTGCAGCTGCGGCTGCGGGGGCTGCGGGGGCTGCGGAGGCTGGTAGTACTGCTGCTGCGGCGGCGGCGGCTGGTATTGCGGCGGCGGCTCGGGCGGCTCCGGCTGGTACGCGACGCGGGAGAGGACGTCCCGCTTGGCGCCTAGAGAGCGTGTCGTGGACGCGTCGTTGACGGCTGAGGGGGAGCGAGAGAGGGGGCGAGGCTCGGCGCCGGCGGAAGGGGGAGTCGGCAGCCGCGTGTAGACGGGAGGCGGGGCGACGGCGGCGGCCGGCGGCGGCGGGGCGAAGGGCGCGGCGGCCGGCGGCGGAGAGTGGTACTGCGGCGGCGCTGGCGGCGACGCGAAGCCGGCGCCGTTGGGATGCGGCGCTGCCGGTTGGTGGAGCGCCGGCGGTGCGGGCGCGGCGTGGGCAACAGAGGCGTGCGGCGAGGGGTCGGAGCACGAGGAGCGGCGGCTGGCCTGAGGCGCCGCCTCCTCCGCCGAGAGGATGCCTGACGAGCGGAACGGTCGGCAGTCACGGAATGGGCCGACTGCATGGCCCCGGCATGCTCGCCGCCGAGAGCACGCCGAGCAGGAGCTCTGTGCTGTCTAGGAAGTGTCTAGGAAGTGTCTAGGAAGTGTCTAGGAAGTGGCCGAGAGCACGCCGAGCAGGAGCTCGGTGCAGCGCCAGCCCGCCGCCGCGCTCTCGCGGAGCGCCGGGGCGAGGCCAGCCTCGGCGAGGGCAGCGCGCGCCTCGGGCCTGCGGCGTGGAGGCACCAGCCTCGGGGCGGTAAGGGGCGGGAGGGCGGATCGGGCATACACGAGCAGAGTGAGTGCACAGCTCGAACACGGCTCGAGTGCTGCTGAGCCCGCGTGTCGTCTCTGCACGTGTCCTCTCGAGCGCTGGCTGGATACAAGATCCGTGTTGCGCATCTGGCGGCTCGGGCCGCAGCGCGAGTTGCGAGAGGAGGGAGATGGAGGCGAGGCACCCCTCGTGGTTCTCCTTGTCTTGGACCGCCTTGAGCAGCCCGGCCGCAAGCTGCGCGAGCACCGCGCCGCCAAAGGCGTTCCTGGCGAGAGAGAGAGAGAGAGAGAGGCGGGGGTGGTGGTGGTGATGGTGGTGATGGTGGTGGTGGGTGTGAGTGTGTGTGTGTGTGTGGGTGTGGGTGTGTGTGGGGGGGTGGGCGCTTCGTGTGCGAGGCGAGGCCCACGAGAGCAGAGCAGCGAGGGGTGTGAAGACAGAGGTGTGAAGAGACGCCCTGCACAAGCGTGGCGGAGGCCACGGGCGAGGGGGCGCCTGCAGACGCCGTGCACGTGGGAGAGCGCGGAGAGCAGGTCAACCACAGCGGAAGGCTTCGCCGTCGACAGGGCCTGCACTAGCGCCGGAGCAACCGCCTGCGGACGCGTGGCATTGACATGTCGTGGACGTGTCCTGGACAGGGCCTGCGCCTGCGCCGGCGCAACCGCCTCGGGGAGCCCGGCCGGCGGCTCATCGCGAAGCAAGTTGGCGAGGACCCTCGCGGCGGGTGCGACGGCGGCGGGCTTCTTCGACTCGACCAGCCGGAGCAGGGTGGGCACGCCTCCGGCCTGGGGCAGTCATTGACCAAGTGACCCCCCTCCCCCCCCCTTTGGCTTTGGCTTTGGCTTTGGCTCCCCCCCCCCCCCCCCTCCCCTCTCCCCCCTCTCCTCCTCCCGCCTGCTCGATCCGGGGCGGTGCCGCCGCCGCGAGGGCGAGGGAGGCGAGGGTGGAGGCGGCGGCGTCGACCATCTCCCCCGTGGAGGCGCCCTTGTCGTACCGCGCCGCCGCCGGCAGGAAGCGGAGCAGCGCCTCCACAGCTCCGCCCGCGACGAGCCGCGGCCGCACGCCGCCGTGCCCGCCCGAGAGAGACTGCAGCAGCAGCAGCACCGCCACCGCCTCCCGTTCGGCAGTCCCGCCGTCGACGCCCTCGCGCGGCCTCTCGTCGCCTGCAGGTGTGAGCAGCGTCTTCACACCTCGACCTGTGAATGTACCCCGCCCAGCGCGGCGTCTCCGGTCGCCGAGGGCGGCGAGCAATGTCGGCAGAGCGTCGGCAGCGAAGAAAGCGTCCACAAACGCCGCGGCGCCCGCGTCATCGGCCGGAAGCGACGGCGACATCAGCTGCTGCGACATGATGGCGAGCGCACGCACCGCCGCCGTCCGCGCCGGCAGCGCGCTCGTGTGCAGCAGCTGCAGGATCGGCTGCAGCGCGCCGTCGGAGAGGAGCGCGTCGCGGAACTCCGGCACCGAAGAGAGGTTGCCGAGCACCGCGGCGGCGGCGCCCTGCACTTCGGCGGACGACGCCGAGAGCAGCGAGATGAGCGAGAGGTGCCATCCCGCGGCGAGGAAGGCCTTGGCGTCTGACGCCTCGACGCCGAGGTTTGCGACGCACTGCACCGCCGCCTGCGGATTGGGTTGGTCAGCTGAGGAGTACGGACGCCTCATTCCTCAGAGGCGTGCGACGCATCGCACGGCCGCCTGCTGCACCGCCTCCTCGTCATGCAGCAGCAGCTCCGCCATCCTCGGCAGCGCGCCTATCCCCCATTCTCCACCCCTCGCCACCGATTGACGGCCGCCGCTCCGCCACCCACCCCTCCGGCAGCGCGCCCGCGTCGCGCAAGGCGTCCCGGTTCGGCTCCGCGCCGGAGAGGGAGGTGACTGCGCGGGCGACGTGGACAGTCGCCTCTGCGCCACCCGCCGAGAGCATCGCCACGAGGGGCTGGATCGCGATCCGCAGCATGTTGCAGTACCGCGCCTATTCATCGCACGCACCAAAGTGCGTCGCAGACGGAGTCGCGAGACCCGCGGCGCGTTGCAGCAGCGGCGCGCGTCCGCGGCGAAGGAGGCGACCACGCGGACCATCGACACGCGCGCGTCCGGGTTGGCGGCGCCGCCGCGCGTCCCGTCCGGCCGCACCTGACGCGCACTCGTGGCTCGTCGTTGCTTGTGGGAGAGGCAGCGCCGCGCCTCCCCTATGCCGCGCCGTGTTCGCGGCGGCGAGGGAGCGGGTCACGTGGGAGAGAGTGCCTGTTCACAGCCCAGAGGTGTGAAGAGACGCTGTCCACACCGCGGGTCACGTGGGAGAGAGTGCCGAGGCGGTAGAGCGTCTCGCGCGCCGCCTCCTCCTCCGCCAGCGCCGCGACCGCCTAGGGGAGGAACCGCCAGCAGCTTACACCATCGCGGCAGGATGGGCCCTCCTCGGCCAGCGCCGCGAGCGCCTTTGCGGCGTTCTGCTGCGTCCCCTCGTTCGGTGAGTTGAGAAGGCCGACGATGGCCGAGATCGAGTTGAGATCGGCGAGCAGCGCGCCTAGGAGGTGTCTAGGAAGTGTCTCGGAGGTGTCTAGGAGGTGTCTAGGAGGTGTCTAGGAGGTGTCTAGGAAGTGTCTCGGAGGTGTCTAGGAGGTGTCTAGGAAGTCTCGGAGGTGTCTAGGAGGTGTCAAGGAAGTGCCTAGGAGGTGCCTAGGAAGTGTCTAGGAGGTCTGGCAGTGTCTAGTGTCTAGCATGGGTCTAGGAGGTGTCTAGGAAGTGGCAAGCTAGTAAGAGCAGCGCGCCCCGCTGGTGCACGTCCTCGAGCAGCGCCGCCAGCGTCAGGGACACGTCTTGCTGCACCGCCTCGCTTCCTACAGCCGAGAGGGCGCCGCGATGGCGCCGAGGGGAGGCCGGGGTTGTCCTGCCGCTCCGCCTCGGCGCCGGCGGCGAGCACGTCCAGCAAAGCCTGGAGGAGCAGCCAGAAGGAGTGAGGAGACGACGCATGCGAGTCGGGCCATGGCGGTGCCAGCGGCGCCTGGAAGCCTCCCGCGTTGAAGTGTCTAGGAAGTGTCTAGGAGGTGTCTAGGAAGTGTCTAGGAGGTGTCTAGGAAGTGTCTAGGAAGTGTCTAGGAAGTGTCTAGGAAGTGTCTAGGAAGCGCCTGGAAGCCTCCTGCGTTGAAGACGAGCCGCCAGCTCCCCCGCACGGTGTGCGCCAGCGTGAGCGCGATGTGCTGCTTCACCTCCACGGCGCCGCTCGAGAGGAGGAGCGTCGTCAGCGGCGCCACGGCGCCGGCGACCTGCACCGCACTCGCCGCCGCCTCCTCCTCCGCCGCCAGCGCGCCGAGCGCGTAGACGGTCTGCAGCTGGACAGCCGGGTGCGGCGAGTGGAGGAGGTGCGAGAGCAGCGGCACCTGAGGGGTCAATCACTGGCGACTCATCATCGAGAGCTGCCCTTCGGCGGGTGCAAGCGCGCGTGCGAGAGCGACGGCACCGTCTCCGCCTGCAGAAGCGCCTGCACCGCCGGACGGTGACGGCACATGTGGCCGATGGACATTGCCGCCTGGCTCTGCGCGTCGGGCGACGGCGAAGAGAGCTGGGTGAGCAGCGCCACGTGCCCGCCGACCTAGCAAAACGACGCCGCGAACCATCGACAGCGAGAGGCGGCGAGAGGGCGGCGCCACTTGCCGCCGGCCTGCAGCAGCGCGTCGGCGGACGCGGCGTTTCCTCCGAGCAGATTGCACAGCGTGGTCAGGCACCTGATTGGTCATCGACCCTCCTCAACCCTCCGCCCTCCCTAGGCAGACTGCAGAGCGCGGTCCGGCTCGCATCGTCTGGACCGCCGCGTCGTGGGAGAAGAGCATCTGCCCGACCACTGTCAGCGCGCCGCTCTGGCACAGCGGACCCACCGCCGACGGGACGAAGGAGAGGTTGGCGACGGCGGAGAGGGCGCAGTGCTGCACGTGCGGCTGCGGCGAGGACAGCAGCCCGGCGAGGGGGCCGATGGCGCCCGCCTCCGGCAGAACCTGTTTCGACGGACGCGCTGATCACTCGAACGCATGGCTTGGCTTTGGCGACGGCGCCCGACCTCCGGCAGAACCTGCCGGAAGCGCTCGTCGGCTAGGAACCTGCCGGAGGTGTCTAGGAAGTGTCTAGGAAGTGTCTAGGCACCTGCCGGAAGCGCTCGTCGGCCGCGAACTGTGCGATGGCCTGCACGGCGTGGTACGAGGTCTCGACGTCGAGCTCGAGCAGCGCGGCGAGGCCTGCTGGCAATCATTCACTCACATGGGGTTGATGATTGAGTTGCTCGAGCAGCGCGGCGAGGCCTGGTAGCCCGCCGAGCTCGTGGAGCGACTGTCGCAGCGAGGGCTGGTTGGCCTAGTTCGCAACGGGCGGCGGTCGAGGCGTTGGCTGATGAGCTGCTGCCGCAGCGCGGGCTGGTATGCCATCGAGGCGATGGCGGCGGCGGCGGGGCCCTTGGCGAGCGCGTTGGAGGAGGAGAGCATCGCGACGAGGTGCGGGAGCACCGACGGGTGCTGCAGCTGCGCCGGCGTGAGTGCGCCCGCCGAGCAGAGGTTGCCTGACTCGAAGCGAGTCGCCGTCACTCACTCGCTAGGCGTGAGGGCGCCCGCCGAGCGGAGGCTGCCGAAGGTGATGGCGGCGTACGCGCGCAGCTCTTGGTTCGGGTGCTCGAGCAGCTGCAGCGTCGAGGTGAGGCAACCGTTCTCGACAATCGCGTGCGCCTGCACGGGCTCCGCCGAGAGCTGCGAGAGCGCGGACAGGGCTTGCAGCTGCGCGCGCTCGTCGCCAGAGTCGAGCTGCTCCGAGAGCAGGACGAGGCCGCCTGTGGACATGTCTCGGGCATGTCATGGACGTGTCCTGGACACGTCCTCCGACAGCAGGACGAGGGGCTGCCCGACTCGAAGAGCTGCTAGGAAGTGTCTAGGAAGTGTCTAGGAAGTGTCTAGGAAGGGCTGCCCGACTCGAAGAGCTGCTAGGAAGTGTCTAGGAAGTGTCTAGGAAGTGTCTAGGAAGGGCTGCCCGACTCGAAGAGCTGCTCGGCGTTCTGGACGTCGCCGGGGCAAAGGCTGGGCACGCGCGAAGAGGACAGTCAGAAGAGGCGTTGTGACAACAGCAATGGGGATGGTAGCGATGGAAGACGGAGAAGGAGGAGAAGAGAATGGCGGCGGTGGTGGTGATGGTAGACTAGTAAGGACAGCGGCAACACACGCCTCGAGACGAGAGACGTCGCGAAGCGCGAGATGCGGCCGTCTTGGTGGCTCATCAACTGGATGAGGTGCGGCACCGCGCCGACGTTGCGCACGGCGCGCTGCGCCTGGGTCAGGCCCGAGTCCGCGAGCCGGTCAGAGGTGGTGGCTAGTGGAGATGTCTGTCAACGCTGCATGGCTAACTGGCTGCGCCTGGGTCAGGCCCGAGTCCGCGAGCCGGTCAGAGGTGGTGGCTAGTGGAGATGTCTGTCAACGCTGCATGGCTAACTGGCTGCGCCTGGGTCAGGCCCGAGTCCGCGAGCCGGCTGAGGCATTCGAGGACGGCGGCGACCACCTCGCTGCTGCCCGTGCCAGGGGAGAGGAGCATCGCCGCGAGGGGCGAAGCGGCGCCCGCCTCGAGCAGCAGCAGAGAATCAGCACTCAATCAGACGGAGACTTGAGCCCTCCCCAGTGCACCCCTTCTTCAGACTTGAGGCCTCCCCAGTGCACCCCTTCTTCAGCGCGCCTCGAGCAGCGCGTCTGCCGCACGGCCGAAGGCGCAGAGCTGCTGGGCGAGGGCGAGAGCTGCGCGCTGCACGTCCGGCTTGGTCGAGCCTAGTTCAAAATGCGCCACCATGAGCGAGCGGGTCGAGGGCGTGGCGAGGCAAGACTAGCTCGGTCGAGCCGAGGAGGGGGGTGAGGGAGGTGGCGACGCCCGAGTCGGCCGCCTGCTCGCGGCACTCCTTGTGAGAAGAAGAAGAGAAGAGGGGGAATGAGACATTCATGAGAAAGGAAGAATGGGAGTGAGGAGGAGAAGAATGAGAAGGAGAAGACGAAGAAGAAGAAGCGCCAAGCGCCTGCTCGCGGCACTCTTTGTGCGAGCAGAGCATCGCGAGCAGGGTGAGAGCCGCCTCCTGCAGCGTGGCGAGGGCGTGTCAGAGCCCCCCCCCCCCCCCCCCTCCCGAGCCAGACTGCCGATGGCATGTGCGCTCCTGCAGCGAGGCGGAGGCGGAGCCAAGCATGTGTGCGACGGAGAAGACGGCGCCGTTCTGCTGCAGCTGCTTCCAGTCGCCGGTCGGGTCCTCGCACAAGTTGGCAAGGACGAGGCAGGTGGCCTGTGAACGTGGGGCCTCTTGTGTGAGGTGGTGCACCGGTGGCACTGCGTGAGCAGTGAGCGAAGGCGAGGCAGGCGGCCTCTTGCAGCGGCCCGTGTCTAGGAGGTGCCTAGGAGGTGCCTAGGAGGTGCCTAGGAAGTGCCTAGGAGGTGCCTAGGAGGTGCCTAGGAGGTGCCTAGGAGGTGCCTAGGAAGTGCCTAGGAAGTGCCTAGGAGGTGCCTAGGAAGTGCCGAGGAAGTGCCTAGGAAGTGCCTAGGAAGTGCCTAGGAGGTGCCTAGGGAGTGTCTACGAGTGGACCTCTTGCAGCGGCTCGTGCGACGTGTTGAGAAGCACGTCGAGCACGATGACCAGCCCCTTGGCACGACGCACCTGCCGAGAGGCAGCCGAAGTGCAGCCGAAGTGTAGCCAAGAGGCAGCCGAGAGGTGCAGCCGAGAGGCAGCCGGGAGGTAGCCGAGAGGCAGCCGAGAGGCAGCCGAGAGGCAGCCGAGAGGCGGCCGAGGTGCAGCCGAGAGGCAGCCGAGGTGCAGCCAAGAGGCAGCCGAGGTGCAGCCGAGGTGCAGCCGAGACGCAGCCGAGAGGCAGCCGAGGTGCAGCCGAAATGCAGCCAAGAGGCAGCCGAAGTGCAGCCGAGGTGCAGCCGAGAGGCAGCCGAGAGGCAGCCGAGAGGCAGCTAAGATACAGCCGAGATGCTCCGTGGTTTGGCGCACCTCGCTCCTTCCGCTCTTTGAGGCGGTGAGGGAGGCGAGAGCCGACATCGCGCTGACCTTGCTCTCAGTGCCGCCCGAGCGGACCAGCGCGAGGATCGCATCGAGAAGCTCGCGCTCCTACGCACCAACCGCCACGTGCTGGCGACTTGTGGCGAGGCGCAGAGGATCGCACCGAGCAGCTCGCGAGATACAGCCGAGAGACAGCCGAGGTGCAGCCGAGAGGCAGCCGAGACGCAGCCGAGAGACAGAGGAGGGGCAGCGGAGAGGCAGCCGAGACGCAGCCGAGAGACAGAGGAGAGGCAGCGGAGACGCAGCCGAGGTGCAGCCGAGATATCGCATCAAAGAGCTCGCGATCCTCGTGCAGCAGCTCGCGGTACTCGTCATAGCCGAGCATCGCCGACAGCAGCTTCGCCACGCCCGCCTTCGTTTGCAAGGACGCTGCCGCTAAGCGCCCCTCTCACCACGCACACCGAGAGCTAGTGACGAAATGGCGACGGCATGCCTGCGTGTCCGGGGTCGCCGTCTGCAGAAGCTCGGTCAGCAGCTCGGGCGCACGCAAGGCCTGGCAGTGAGTCAACGCTTGGTTCAGACGGGCGAATCAAAGGCCAGCAGCTCGGGCGCACGCGGAGCCTCGAAGGCGTGCACGATGCCCTTGTCCGCGAACTGCGGGTCCATGCTGGCCCAGTTGGCCAGCTCCTTGGCCGCCTGCAGGGAAGGGTCCGAGAAGGGTCCGAGAAGGGTCCGAGAAGGGTCCGAGAAGGGTCCGGGAAGGGTCCGAGAAGGGTCCGAGAAGGGTCCGAGAAGGGTCCATGCTGCCCAATTGGCCGCCTGCTGTATCTCGGCCACCTCTCGGCCACCTCTCGGCCACCTCTCGGCCACCTCTCGGCCACCTCTCGGCCACCTCTCGGCCATCTCCCGGCCATCTCTCGGCCATCTCTCGGCAACCTCTCGGCCACCTCTCGGCCATCTCTCGGCCATCTCTCGGCAACCTCTCGGCCACCTCTCCGGCCATCTCTCGGCCATCTCCCGGCAACCTCTCGGCCATCTCTCCGGCCATCTCTCGGCCATCTCCCGGCAACCTGCTGCCGCGCGGTCTCCGACTCGGACCGCAACTTAGCGACCTGCTTTGCGATGCAGACTGGGTCGCCGCGCTCGAGCTGCTCGTAGCAGACGTCGCACACGCGCACCGCCTCGCTCACGCCCCGGCCTGGCACCTTGGCTGTCTTCTTGCTCACGTCCGCGCACACGATCTGGCCGCAGTACCGGCAGTGGTGCTTCCGCTGCACCAGCGTGAACTTGACGCCCGTCAGAAAACACTGCGTCACCTAGGAAGTGTCCAGGAGGTGTCTAGGAAGTGTCTCGGAAGTGTCTAGTCAGAAAGCACTGCGTCACTTCGTCGTCCTTTGCCCAACCCTCTGTCTGCTTGCCCGCCGCCCCCTTCTTGCCGCCGCCTCCGCCGGCCGCCTCCGCCGCGCCGCCGCCGCGGGAGCGAGCCGCGGGCGCCTCTGCCGCCGCCTCGTCTTCTGCGTCCCACTGCGCGGCCAGCTCCCTGGCGAGCTCTGCGTCACTCTTCAATTGGCTGCCACCGGACGGCTGCTGCGCGGCGCGCGGCGGCGTCGGCCGAGAGGGCTGCGAGGGCGGCGTGGCGCCGTACCCGCCACCCCCGCCCCGCGCCCCGCTCGTCGGGCGCTCCCACGTCGTCCGCTTGGTCGCGTGGTCGATGTAAAACGTGCGGCCGGTCGACGGATCGAGGCGCTCCTCCCAGTTGGCGGCGAGGCCGCCGCCGCCGCCGCTCGGAGGTGGCGGCGCGGCGCCTCCGTTGGCCGCCGCACCGGACGGCGGCGTCCAGCTCGTCTGCCCGGTGACGAGGTTGACGTAGTAGGGCCGGCCGGTGCTCGGGTCGGAGAGCTTCTGGTAGCCGCTCGGAAGCATGAGGCGCGGGCGTGTCTAGTTGCCTGCGGTGCGGAGGCGGCGGCGCGGTGACGGGGATGCGGGGCGGCGGCGGCGGCGGATGCGGCGCGGCGGCGGCGGCGGAGCGGAGTGCGAGGGGCGGCACTGCGCACGATTGCAAGGGGACGCCGTCTCGGCCGCGGCGGCGACAGTGACTTGGGCAGAAAATAAAAAAAGTGCATACTGTGTGTGTGTGTGTGAAAACCGCCAATGGCAGTTATCCGCGTTGTGCGGACGTCGCCGCGGCTCGCCTCTGCCGCGGCGGCTGCTGCGCGCACGCGGCGGCGCCGCTCTCTCGCGAGACGGCTGGCGCCGCGGCTCGCCGCCGGCGCACACCGCGCTCGTCCGACCGCCCGCGGCGTGGCGTGCGCGGCGCTGCGCGCCGCTCTGCGAGTGCTTCTGCGCCTGCACTGCCTCTCTCTGTTGCTGCTGGTGGTGGTGATGGTGCTGCTGATGGTGCAGATGCTGCTGCTGGCGCGGCGCGGCTCTGCGACTGGGCTCGACGAGCGCGTCGCGAGCATCTGACGCGGCGGGCGGCGTCGGGCAGGTGCGCTTCTCTCTCTGGTGGTGGTGGTGGTGCTGCTGCTGCTGTTGGTGGTGCAGATGCTGCTGCTGGTGCGGCGCGGCTCTCCGACGCGACTCGATGCGGGAGGCGCTCTTTTCCCGGAGCGCGCTGTCAGTGCAGCAGGAGCTCTTTGCGCACCTTGGCATGGGTCATCTTGTAAACGCGAGCGGGGTGATGCCACACCCGAATACTCACGAGTACGACGGCAAGCAGCGCATCATGAGCTGCGCGTCCATCAACGCCATGGGCCGCGCGTACAAGCCGTGGAACGCGCGCCTCTTTGAGGACTACCCGCGGCTGAACGCCACCCTCTGGCGACTGCCGAAATGCTCGCTGGAGGAAGCTGCGATTTTGGGGTGAGGTTAAATTCTTTGCTCTCCGCTGCTTGCGCGTTGCGGTTGCGCGGGGCCGCTCGCGCGGAGTGGTCACCGCAGTCGCACGAGCTCTTCCAGGAGGCGGCTCGCAAATAAATAAATAAAAACGGACACCTCTCTACTGTGAGATGGGTAAAAAGGAACAGGTCCCCGCCCTTGCGATCTTTGTGCAGGGTTCTTTGTGGGTGTGGTTGGCGACTAGCGCCGGGGTCGTCCTCCCGATGGGGGACTAGCACTAGCCGTCTTCCACATGGTCCCTCGGGTCCCTGCTGCTCCTAATCTCTTCGTACATCCTCCTGCTGATCTCCGCAAAGTCCTGCTCCCTCCCTCGTCTCGCCCTGCGCGTCTGCTCCGCCTCACCGTCTTCTGCCCTGCGAGCTGCGTCGTCTAAAATAAATAAATAAAAACGGACACCTCTCTACTGTGAGATGGGTAAAAAGGAACAGGCCCCCGCCCTTGCGATCTTTGTGCAGGGTTCTTTGTGGGTGTGGTCGGCGACTAGCCGGGGTCGTCCTCCCGATGGGGGACTAGCACTAGCCGTCTTCCACATGGTCCCTCGGGTCCCTGCTGCTCCTAATCTCTTCGTCTGGCGGCTCGCAAGTCACATGATTCATACTGGTTTGATTGATAGCGTTAGAGCGAGCTGCGTGAAGGGAGTGAGAGGTATGTGCTAGGGGTAGGGCGCGCGCGCGCGCGCGCGCGCGCGCGCGCGGCGCCCTCCCTGAAAGCGATGTGTCCGCCTGCTCTCGATAAAGTTAAAGAACGTGAACCGCTTAGTGTGGTAGGAGCGTCGTGCGGCTCTTGGGGTTTTCTGCGACATATATGGGGAATACACCGCGTTGAGACTCCGTCTCCGACCAGCTTCTCTCAAGTAAATACGTCCTCAGCAGTAAGTTTGAATTCTCAGTGTTTGTGGACGTAAGCGAGTGGCTGCAGCCGGGGCGCCCCGCCGACCCCCGCCGCAGCCCTGCCGATCAGAGGGGCGGGCGAGAAGGCGGGCGCCGCGTGCACCTCCTTGCACGAAACGTGCCTCGAGAACCACAGGAAATCGGCGACCGGCACCGCGCACGCCGCGGCGGGCGGTGGTGCCGCCGCCGCCGGCCGCAGCCCTGTGAAAGGCTGCTCCACGGGAGCCCTCTGCTCGCCGCCCCGCTTGGCCGCTCTCGGGTCGGCCCTCGGGGGCGCTAGGTCGATCACCGACATCCCAAGCGCTCTCAGCCTCGCCGACTCCGCTAGCCGCGCCGCCGCCTGCTCCTTTCTTGAAGCCTCGCCCGCAGCCGCGCCGCCCGCGCCGCCGCCCCCCTCCTGCAGCGGCGGCGGCGGAAGCGGCAGCTGCAGCGTGGTGAGCGGGTAGGCGGGCCCGAGCCCGCCCTCGCGCAGCTCCTGCGTTCAGAGAGGTGTGGCGGCTCTTTTGTGGGGTTGAGAAGGGGCTGAGAAGCGTCTAAGAAGCGTCTGGGAGGTGTCCAGGAGGTGTCTAGGAGGTGTCTAGGAGGTGTCTAGGAGGCG